GCAAAGGAACAAAAATGCGGCAAAAAATGGGAACTAAATCCCATTTTCATGTACCCTCTCGTTAGCAAAATGTCCCCCCAAGTCATGGTTGGTTCATGGGATGGTGGCATTGGCGGTTTATCACATTTGATCGTATCACTATTAGCCTCTGGTTATTTGTTACATAGCCATGGAAAGATCCACCATGCTAAAAAAAGGAACGGTAAACCATCTATTTCGATTAGGGCCATCTATACCAACCATGGCGAACTGTAACAGTCATAACTTATGGGAACTAAATCCCATTTTCATGTACTATCCTATGAATATCCCATCAACTCCCGATGTTTCGGACGAAATCTGTGGAACATCGTGGAACCCAAGGGTTTGCCCAGCGGCCCTTTGGCGACGGGTGCGATGTCGGGATCGGGATCTTCGGGATCTTTGGCACCGGCGCTCGCGCTAATCGCCTGGGAGAGCGAGCATAAATCGGTAAACTTCCATGGATCTGGGTATGTAATATGGAATACCTCCATGGAGTATATAATATGGTATATAATATATACATCATATCCATATAATTATATCTGATATAAGTATAACTATGGAGAATAATCACCATAAAGCCAACAGTCACTCTAGTTATAGATTCTATGGTCCAACCAACACCCAACAATTACCCAACATTAGCTACTTTCCCTATGGATCCAAACACTGTCTGAGAAGGTACGGCTAACCCTCCAAATGATAGTAAATCATACCCCAGTCCACCCTTTCAGAAGGTACGACTGGATCCATAGGGAAGTACAATGGAGAATTGAGTAGAATTGATATCTGGCTGAATTACTGATCAGAATTCTGAACTTATTATTTACTGGTTGGTTGGTTGGTTGGTTGGTTGGTTGGTTGGTCGGTCGGTTGGTTGGTTGGTTGAACGACTCAGATGGATATAAATGATATAACGGGATATTTCACGGGATTTGAAATCAACAATTCAGGGTCAACCATAAAGAATGGGTACCTTGTTGCCATAAATCGGGAGATTTATCCATGAAGAATTCCGTGTCAAGAAGCCTCAAAATCCACAATTGAATTAATTGAATTATGTTGAATTTTTAGTGTAGCAAGTAAAAACCTCTCGTAAATGCGAATATATGTCCGTCATGGCTATACTATGAAAATTAATCATGTGGTACCCTCCGGTAATTTTTCACATAGCTATTGAAAATGACCCATAGAAATAGTGGAATTACCCAATTTACCCAGCTATAAAATGGTGGATCTTTCCATCGTTACGTAAACGTTTACCAGGCCGGCTAGATCGTTGTTTTTTCCACCGCAGCCACATAGCAAAAATTGCGGCTGATTCCATCAAGATTTAGGGATTGTCCATCATAAACCAATCATTGGATTAAATCAATGATCTATAAATGGAAATTTTCCATCATAAACCCATCCATTTTGGAGATGTCCAATGATTTTTTCCAGATTTTCCATGGGGATTTTCCGGATTTTCCAAGCAGCTGATGTCGGGATCCACTGGCCCCCGGCTTTCGCGAGATCGAGTCCGCCGAGCTGCTCAGGTCCGAGTCCTTTCACCGCTTTTGGCGCTTTCGGCTCTCCTGTCCAGTGACTTGACTTACTGGTGCTTAGTCCGTATATTTGGGTGATAAAAACCTGGATTTCTAGGTGAATTATGGTGATTTAATGGTGATTTAATGGTGAAATTTGGTATATTTACCAGATTATTTACCTACATTTGGTATATTTACCTACATTTGGGCCTTTGGGTGATTTTCTTCGGGCAGTTATGTTGGTAAATATTCCAGCACCATGGTTCGCATATGGGGATGGGTTGCTGGGACTTGTCGGGATGATCTGCCATGATCTGCCATGACTGCCATGACTTGGGACGGCCGTGGATGGTCCCTATAGTTAGAATATACCCGGCCTGGTAAACATACAAAAAACGATGGAAAATCACCATTCTTAATGGGAAAACTCACTATTTCTATGGCCATGGCTTCAATAGCTATGTAGCAAATTACCAGAGGCTAGTTAGAATTAGAATTTTTTGCTGTTGAACACTATCCACTTTCATAAACTGGAACTGCAATCAGCAATTCCTTGGAGAATCATCCAAGTCTCCAAATAACTTGGGCGCTTTTTTCTCGCTGGATGGCATGGAAACTCCTCGAATCATATGGTTTATATGATATATAATTAGGATTGATTATGTATTATGTTATCTGTATATTATATTATATATATATATATGTAACATGTGTATATATATATATATTCATTACTGGTTGGTGGTTGACCTACCCCTCTGAAAAATCATGGAGTGAACGTCAGCTGGGATAATGAAATTCCCAAGTGAATGGAAAAATAATCCAAATGTTCCAGTCACCACCAACCAGTAATGTATCATCAAGATTCATTGATTATGGTTGTATCATATGATATAAATCATCAGCCCAGCCGGAACACCTTTCCTGCCAACTTTGCGGGAGTATGTGGGAACCACTTACTTTGAAATGAGCCCCAAATACCTTGAATGGTACATCAAAATAGACGATTTTTGGGGTACCCCCATTGGAAAGATCCATTTTTGTTGTACCTACGAATCTGAGGATCGCAGTGAGGTAGTCACAACGGATTCATCAAACCTACCATGAAGATCCATGAAGTTGACTTGTAGACATAGACCTACCATGACCTACGAAAATCTACCATGGCTGGCTATATCTCTGAAAATCATCTGCCAAACACATTTTCCATGAGGACCCAAAAAAAAGACACGACATGTCCTCCCTCAGAGTCACCCAAATTGTCGCTTGTTGGGGGTCCGCAAGTGGGTCCGCACCCTCCCCCCTCGGTCCGGACAAATTGCAACAGACAAACCAGAAAGGGAAACATTAACTTAAAGTTCACCACCAAATAAGCATGTAATTCCCAACCACAAATGATTCCCAAGTTGATGTGGCTTACCTTATTTATTCATCCTTTTGACCGGGTCCATGTTTAACCCCAAAGCGACCAGATGTAAATCGGTACTTCCCCCTCATTTTCGGCAATCCTATCCACTTAGTTTTTTCAACATCCCGACTTAACGGTCCCAAATATTAGCGCTTTTTGAAGCCCTGGCTTCTGGGGTGGTGCTAGATGGGGAAAAAATCGGCTCGTATCATCCATGAATAGTATTGAATACCAGTCAAATGGGATAGTACATGATAGCACGGTAGCACTCAATGATGTGGTATAATTCACTGATATCATATATATAACCAGCTGGTATAATTCATGTAATATAGTATATATCTTATATTTGGTTCAGAATATTACATAACCATATAATATGACTGATTCTTGTATGAATATTTCATAGCCATTACAGTATGCATATATAATATGTTGTGGTGATAGTTATATAGCTCAGATTTCCAGATATCTAAATACTTATGGTTATATATATACTTATATTGGGGTTGTCTGAAAATATGGTACACCAAAATCCCATGATGTATCATTGTTTACACCAATAAATGTTCGTTTTTTGGGGTATACACCATTTTCAGACACCCATATATATATATATACATACTGTATACACATACAAACATATATATATATACATATATATATAAACCTATATATAATATATCATGTATCTTATATTATATATATATGTATATATACATATAATTATATATATATCAGATTTCCAGAGTTCCCATTCAGCCAAGTCCTGCCAAGTCACCGTCCGACTTGGACTTCGCTCGGCGCCTGAGCCAAGTTGTGATGGTGAACCTGTGGATTTCATATGCAATTTTCATTGAAACATGATGGATTTCAGTGGTTGATAACTCCAAAAACAATTGGGAAAATGGTGAACTAACCAACACTGATATAGTATATAGGGATTTCATTGGATTTATGATAGCAAAGTTGGTAACTCCAATTTCGCAATGGTTTATGATTTCGCAATGGTTTATGATACGTTTATATAACTATAGTACAGTGATTAATGATTAATTATATACTAGGATTTATCTAAGGTTTGGGTTTTCTTTTGGATTTCTTTCCTGGTACCATTTGCCTTGTATTTGCAACAGTTTGGAACTAGAACCTGTCATTTTGCATGGTATTGCTACAACATGTTCACCTTCCGTTTTGCACGGAATTTGCTATTTTTGGGGCACCTCAACCTCTCATTTTGTATGGTATTTGCTACAAGTTGGTACTTCAAATGTGCGTGACCTCTCATTTTGTATGGTGAGAGTATTTGCTACATGTTGGTACTCAAACGTTCATGTGGGTTTCTTTAGGGCGTCATTTTGGGTATCTTTGGGGTTTCTTTAGGGTTTCGTTTAGGGTTTCATTTAGCATGTCTTTAGGGTTTCTTTAGGGTTTCATTTAGTGTTTTATTTGGTGTCATTTAGGGTTTCTTTTAGGGTGTCATTTAAGGGTTCTTTAGGATTTCATTTAAGGTGGCTTTAGGTTTTCATGTAGGGGTTCTTTATGGTGCAATTTATCTTTAGAGTTTCATTTAGGGTTTCATTTGGGGTTTCATTTGGGGTTTCCTCTTAGGGTGTCTTTGGGTTTCATCTAGGGTTTCTCTAGGGTTTCATTAAGGATACAAACGGAGAGAATAAAGCAAACGAGAAAGAACAGCAAAGAGACAGTATATAAAGAGACAATAAAGAAAGGAAGCAAAGAAGCAAAGGAGCAGGAAGAAGTAGAGCAGCAAAAAAAGGAGAAGTAGAAAGCCACAGAAGCAAAAAAGACAGAAAAGCAGAGAAGCAGAAAAAGCAAAAAAGCAGAAGAGCAGAGCAAAGAAGCAGAAAAACAAAAAAACGGAGAAGCAGAAAAGCAAAGAAGCAGGATCAGCAAAAAAGCAGGAATCCCAAAATAAACCTAAACCTTATCAAAAAACAAACTAAAATAAATAGCCCTACTTTATAAACCAACAAACATAACTGGGGGGCACCCAAACATACTGTAATGTGTGTTGTTTTTTTTTTCGGATGATTATTCCATGGCATTTATGGTTGCACTCTGGTAATCAAACGTGGCTGGAAAATCCCCCCCAAAAAAATGGAGTTTTATAACTGGGAAAATCATCTATAGAATTCTATAAATAGGATTTTCATGGATTTTCCAGTTATAAAACTATAGAACATTTTCCAGTTATAACTGGGATTATAGAACATTTTCTATTGCCAAGTTATGTACACTCGGGCAATTCAAGAGAACGATGCTATGGATGGTCCATTGGCTCGGGGAAATCCAAATCCCGATTTCGATTTGGACTTAAAATTACCCTCTGGTAAACTAACATAGCTATGGAAAATCACTATCTTTAATAGGTAAATCAACTATAAATGGGCCATTTTCAATAGCTATGTTAGTTTACCAGAGGGTACCAGGTATGGCTCTCCATTTTTGCAAAAAGACCATTTTTCATACGGTGGATGGGCCAGCGAAATCCGAACGGTGGTTGAAAACGGTGGTTAACATCCCATTATTTATAGGATTTCAACCATCCTTTTGGTGATGCAGGATTTCGCAACCATCCATTTGATGGCCGCAAAAAAAAAGGTAAATCTGCGCCAAGCCACTCTGGCCCCTTCGCTGGCTCACCTCAATAGTCGGGAACCCACATTGAAGGCGACGCTGGGTCTTTGACATACAAATCAAGGTGGGTACTTGTTGGTCATATATATATATACAATATATTATCATAGAAATATCACCATAGATAGTCATAGAGAATCATAGAAAGTCAATATATTATCTTCGTGGTATTTGACATGACAACAGGTTGAGTTCAAATCAGACGCAAATAGTGATTTGACATGATCTGACTAATAAAGCCAAAGATCAAACGCAACAAGAGGTTCAGGAACAACACAAGTTGCATTTCACAACAAAAAAACAATATAGACCGAAATCACTTTTTTCAAGGGCTACGTTAGAAGAAAAACCAATTCGTTTCGGAGCCTCTCCTGTATTCAACATCTGCTGTACAACTACTTGGTGTATATGAGCAGCACACTTGAAATTTGGCCGGAATTCACCCTTCCACACCCTTCCATGGAAAATGACAGAGAGACTCTTCAACACCTCCTAGGGGAAATCATGGACCAATGGAATTGCAGAGGTTGGGCAACAAAGGTATCCGCATGCGCAAACATAGTATGGCACCAAATCAACCATAGACATGTACAAGGAAAGGTAATTACCCTCTGGTAAACTAACATAGCTATTGAAAATGGCCATTTATAGTGGATTTTCCCATTACAAATGGTGATTTTCCATAGTTACGTTAGTTTACCAGAGGGTACATTGACATTTCGAGGACACATGTAAAGAGAGATGTGGCTTTGCCTGAAACTCAGGGTACCCCTAAATCCATCGCGATATCGGGGATATAGCCCGGCGAATATCCCCATTTTTTATAACACACCTAGGTACTTGTCACATTCGGACCTTCACTTGGGGCTGCAGTTGGGAAATAAATTTAAGGGCTATAACTATGGGATTCTAACCTCCATAAGTTGGGATGTAATTAACATTCATTAACCCCGGCGACTCTGGTGAGATATCAGCCACAAAAATGATGGTTCCACTAGCAGCAATCGCTCAAATCTGCCAGGTGACTGGCATCGGCTGACATTTCTGCCTCAGTTTTTTTCGATGCGGAAACAACGTCAAATCCAAATCCACAATAATATGATATGTTAGTCTTCTATCGTTGTGGGAAGTACGACGTATATATATATATTAGTACATATATGCATAAATTATGAATCTATATATATATATATGTATGTATATAATATTGTAATTATATAATATTGTAATATAATATATATATATATATACTGTATATATATATATATTCATATAAATCATATTGTTCTAGTGGTGGTGTGGGTATCAGCAGCGAAACGGTGTATATTCCCATCGTTGAACGGGTGACGAAGTTTCGTGGTGCAAAGCCTCCCACGTTGTGATGCTGCAGAATCATCATCCCTTAAAAACATGTGAAAAGGACAGCAAAAACAAGCCCTTGTGGCGTGTAAAATTTTCGGTGACATCATGTACTGTGTGATTTTTAAAAATACCATCCTGGTAAACTAACATAGCTATGGAAAATCCCTATTTTTCATGGGTAAATCCACTATAAATGGCCATTTTCAGAACCTCCATACCACTGTGGACCAGCTCTGCAGCTCAGCTAGCTCACCTTGGAAGCGTGCTCAGCTAGGAGCAGGTCCAACTTGGCCTGGCAGCCAGGCCAAACGTCCCAGTGTTTCATGGTGAAACCATGATACCCTCTGGTAAACTAACATAGCAATGGAAAATCACCATTTTTAATGGGAAAATCCACTATAAAATGGTCATTTTCAATAGCTATGTTAAATTACCAGAGGGTATCTGGTGATGCGAAACTAGGCTGAAATCCCAACTGATCACGGATACATCCTAATTAACAAAGTTGATTGAAATCCCAAGTGCACCTATAAAAACTTTGTTCTTTTGCATTCGATGACTTGAAAACAGATGCCTTACATCGACAGGAGTGCAAAAAAACACCCCAGATACGGGTGATGAATTGGCAAAAAAAATGGCTCGAAACTGCTGAAAGTACTCACTTCCCCCCTGTGCCCTGTTGCCTGTCATAGATTTACCGTGTGAAAACCGAGATCCAGAAGATGACATCATCCGAGTTTTCCATAGTTTTCCCCTATTGAAAGCGGTAACCGTTTCCGATAGGACTATAGAAGATGGGGCCCCAGTTCGTTAGCTAAATTATGCTAAATTGGTTTATAACTATAATAACAAGTTGGTGTATGATACGCAAATCACTATATTTTCATAGGGTTTTCTCAACCAACTCACATATTGTTGGTTTTTAACTCCAATAACTATGGTTTATGGTACTTATAACTATAGTTTAGATAGGGTTTTCTCAACCAACTGACATAACTGGGGGGGGCCCATCCTGTAGCCGATTTTCGGATAACGTTGGATGCCCGGCCCGACATTTTCGGTGTTTCAGACAGCGCCTGCACTTCGGCCTTCGAACCTGGACGATTTGCCGATTTCCCATGGGTTTCTTGTTTTTAACCTTAAAGAAACCCCAAGTTGATAAACTTACTGGGATATATATATATATATAATCTGGTTGGTGGTTTTAACCATCTTGAAAAATATGAAAGTCAATGGGAAGGATGACATCCCATATATTATGGAAAATAAAAAATGTTCCAAACCATCAACCAGTAATTAATTAATGATTATATCTGGGTTATATAACTACAATTTATTATCCAATGGGACATATGATTGAACAACCCAATTTGAACAGTAAAAAAAAAAGGGCTTAAATCCATAAATTGAAGCGTCAAATCACCGTTAAACACACAAAAAAGGGCGTATGGGGTTTCGATTGACAGTGGTACTTGAGCCAGATTCGTATCGTTTTCGCTGTGACACACCTTTAAATAAAAAACGCAACGCATTGAACTGCCATCCTTCCTTCATTTGGTGCGTCCCAGGAACCGTTTCATACAAAAACAATTAAACCTCAGTTGTATTATGAGATAACCATATAGTTTATAACGGGTTAATACCCATAATTTGCACCACAAATAAAATAGTTTATGAATAACAATTACCCTCTGGTAAATTAACATAGACCCTTCAAACAACCATATTTTGTGGAAACTATTCTTCCAACCTTCAAGTCACGGGGTCGTCAGGTTGCTGGAGGATTACCACTTAAGATGCCTCAGATCCACTTAGCAATCCAAACAAAAACCAGGTCAAGAGGATTGGAACTCTTGATAAGAACTACCCTCTGGTTATTTAACATAGCCATGGAAAATCACCATTTTTAATAGGTAAACCGGTAAACCATCTATAAATGGGCCATTTTCCATGGCTATGTTAAATAACCAGAGGGTATATGATACACACATTGATATTATGAAGTTTCGAAGAACGATGATAAGAAGAAGAACGACTGAATGGTGACTATCGTTTCAACATGTTTTACGACAACTATTGATGATAAAGTTGACAAATAGCACTACATATATGTTGAAACCTATACTGATAATTGTTAAGTTTTATCGTATCCGCTATTCTCCGACAAACAATCAATATATGACAAGAACTAGTTTTAAATCATCAATAGGCAACGCCATTTTGATGAGCGAAAACTCAAAACACAGTGGCTGATTTAATGAGGGGTCACAGTTTGTGGGTTCTATACATATATATATATAAATATCGCTTTCTCTTTTAACAGGTCGTTATATATACATTTATTGTAAATAACATTATATAACCATACATGATCCCTATGTCATAAGCTACCAACAATCATGTATCAAGTAATTATATATATATTGGTTCAAACAAAATCTGGTATCATGGTATCCTGTAATTTTTCTAGTGGTTAGGACATGAGAAAACACAGTTCATAACAAAAAATTAACATTGCTTTTTCTTGTTCAATCTACCAGGCGCGTATCCAAGAGTGCTAGAGTGCTTGGGCACTGTTCGACCTCTTTAAAAACCCCACCTTCAGAGCAAGAGTTCAGCTCGATCTTCACTCGCCTCGAAAGTGATGATCCCCAGGATGATCATGGACAGTCACGGATGATAGATATGGTGATAATCAATAGAGCGTTATTAAAACAATCAATAGATATTGATCTAAAACATATGAAAAAACAATCAAGATCGATGGATAAAGAATGATTTTAAAAAAACAGCCGTTTTACTCGGAAATGGATGTTTCCAATCAAGCACAGGATATCCCTTTTATCTCATTCAAGTCATCAGATCCAAGTCTCAGAGAGAGCCCAAAGCGCGTACTTAAAACTGCAGGCCACAGGTTGCTTTAATGGGTATCACCCTGGGAAATTCAACCCTATAAGTTGAGATACAAATACAACCCCTAGAACTTTATAATATATATATAATACATTATATATATTATACATTATATATATATTATATATTATTATATTATATTCGCTTATAACTGGAACTGCACTTCCAAGTAAGGTTCCTAAACTACTGAACTGAGGACCGTGGGATGATCAAGCAGATCGTCCCTGCCAGGGTTTCCGCACCCTATCTCTTTCAGCAAGGACATCGATGTCCTTAGCAATGAAATCATCAGTGCAAGATCTGGTGTAAAATCTAGGATTCGTCAAGAACTAGAGACAACCCTTCAATTTTAGTTAGGTGCTATTCACAAACCATTGGGATTAGGCACCATTAACCACTACTGACCATATGTATCAAACACATATGACCAATGTATGTATATATATAATGATTTTTATATATATACTGGTTGGTGGTTTGAACCCCTCTGAAAAATATGACAACCCGTCAATTGGGATGATTGTTTTTATATGGAAAGTCATAATCCATTCATGTTCCAGTCACCACCAACCAGATATTTTCATGTCTGGGGGAAATGATGAGCAATCAAATCCATAAGATAAGTTTTGGCACATTTTGACCGCCTTCATGGGACCATCACCATACCAGACTTCGAGAGACTGATGAGGTCCATAAAAAATGGCTCCGAAAAGTTGATCGTCGCAAACTTCGATACCCCAAAGTTCCATGACCAATTCATCATGTGGTTTTCATAGTGATTATAAATGGCGATTAATAGTGATAAATGGTGATTATAAATGGTGATTAATGGGATTTATGGGGACTACTGGTGATTTTCATGATGATTTTCATGGTGAAACTCGGTCACTTTCCCTTTGAAAACGGTTCTGAGAGCCCTGTCTCCGCATCAGCCATTGGCGGAAACGAAGTGCGTAACGTGACTGGGGTTGTCACCGGGATTTTCATGGATTTTCCATAGCAAAATGTTAGTTTACCATAGTTTACCACCATTTTAAAGGAACTGTTAGTTAGTATCACCCAGTTATTGTGGGACTAGGAATCAGCAAGGCATGGCGGCATGACCACCAGGCCTATTCACCTTTTGGCGATTCTTGGAATGATGCAAGTACGCTGGCTTCCGACAGGACATTGCTTTGGCATCATGAGAGCATCTTGAACCTATCATGTGATTGTAGTCATGACTCTGACTGAACACACTTGGCTAAGTGTTGGGATTATGGGTGGTGCAACATGGTGCAACTATGGTTGATTTGTAAAGCAACAAACCTAGCTGAGGCCTCACCTTGGATGCGAACTGTTTTCTTGTCTGTAGCCATTAAAAAAAAACAGGCGACTTGATCTTTTTTCACATCGGAAAATTCGTCCGGAGAATTTTCGGAAACAATGTTCATCATCCTAAAAGGTTTTTCGGCCGTTTGGAGATATAGTGGCATCGCAGTGAGTTTGCTATGAATTACCAAGATTGAATTAGTTATTATTGTAATGGCACAGCTAGAAAACTAGATGTATTGTAATACAAAGCATTGTTGCCCCAAGTATGTACAATATGGATCAATATGGATATACGCAAAGATATGTAGACAATGTAGACATATGAGCATTGTTCAAAACCCTGTGTCGTCCCTTTATACTGGTTGGTTGTTAGGTATTCCGAAATTCCCCTAATGGAGTGTAATAATCCCCAATGTAGTGGTTTGTATAATCCCTATAATATGGGTATGGGTCAAAATTAGGTACCCCAAAATTATGGATGGTTAATACTAAACTAGACTAACATCTGTGGTCCCCTAGGTCTTCCATTTTGACCCACATCCATATCAACTAACAGGGGTTTTGAACACTGCTCACATCAACCGCATTGATGGTCTTGGTCAAGTGCAACTTGAATTGAGCTGCTGTCCATCCTTAGAATCCCTCTGGAAAACAAAAAAAAAACCTCTGGTTATGACTAACGTAGCTATGAAAAATTGCCCATTTACAAATGATTGTCCCATTAAAAACATTAAAACCTCCATTTATTTACGGGATTTTCCATGGCTATGTTAGTCATAACCAGATGGTAAATGCAACAGGAAAACAGCAACACATCACGAGCGCACATCACGAGCTCCGAAAGTGTTGTGTCATAGAATGGGCATCCCAAAGTGTCCGAAAAAGTGTGAGGTTTTAGGAGACAAAACAAGCGGTTTGGGGCCCCATCTTTAACCGGTTGGTGGTTGACCTACCCCTCTGAAAAATATGAGTTCGTCAGTTGGGATCATTATTCCCAATATATGGAAAAATAAAAAATGTTCCAAACCACCAACCAGTTAAGATCTTGTGGGCATTGTTTTGGAGACAAACACTGTTGGAAGCCAATTGTTTTTAACTTCTCGTGGCAGCTACCACACCAAAGCCAAAGAGAATAACAACTTCAATGACTTCACTCATGACTTCTGGGCAGCATACATCATGAGGATTCAACCAACCAACCAGCTTCCAAAGGTCAAGGACTCACTTGCAACACCAGCCAGACAGACTCACTTGAGACGGGGTGGGGTCGGGTGGGGTGGGAAGTAGAAGTTAAATGGCAGTGCATGATAGATCAGAACCAGAGCTTAATACATGATGGAGAAGAAGAAGAGGTTCACGCATGAGTACATGATAGATCAGAAGGAGAACTTAAAGCGTAGTGCAGGATACATGATAAGAATAAGAAGTTAAGGCGTACTACAGGATGAACCGGTATCACAAGCGAGGCAAAAACCGTCCTGTCGGTGGAGATCCCATCACAACGTCTTCGAACTTGGATGTTTTTCCCAAGTGACTGGAGTGATACCCAGAAATTTTTGGCATTAAATGCTATGTTTTTGGGAAAAATGATGAGAAACCAGCGGATTTTGGGGTTACCCTATGATACCCAAAAAACCAGCAAGCCAAGCCAGATCCCCCCTGCTACACCCAGCTGTTTTTTGCGCCGAACGCCGTTCGCCACCTGCGGGCACTCCCACTATCCGGATGTGCCACTGGCATGAAATAATGATGGCACGGCTTGCCATAGCGTCCACTGGGGCAAAAGAATGAATGGGTTGCAGTGACTCGGCATACCTGTGAGGAGGGTTACGTAGCAGCTGGAGTGACACAAGATAACTAGAAGTGGTAGGGGCCAATCCTCGCACTGGCATCGTTTCCCACACTCCTTGATCCATTCGAATTGTGATTCAGGGTAAACTATCAGATTCGGGCACCAATCATCCGAAAATGACAAGCATTTGGTGGGCCGCTTAGCCCACAAAATATTGTGCCCCACAAACCAAACTTCGCCAGCTTCCTTGGCAGCTATGATAGAAACTGGGATCGAAAGATTCCGACCTAATCAAGTGGGATTCACCATCTCAACTAGGGATGCGAAGGGAAACACGATACAAACACGTGGCCCCTGGCACGCCGCTGCGTCCTATTGGGCCGAGATCCGTACGGGAAGCAGATGGACAGTGAAGACACGACGCAATAGACACCACGGAAGTGGTGTGAATTCTCGAGTGTACACTGTAAACAAATGGCTATCACAAATTTCACTTGTATGGAGTCAGAAAAAAGGACCAATAGCCAGCCAACCACATAGTATTTTTTTCACTGAGAGTAGTTTTGGTGATGCCCTGCTTTGCCTTGTTTTGGTGAGATAAAGGGCTCAAAATCCAGCCCTGTATCGCCATCAAAAAGCGCGGCCGTGCGGTGCCCCCGATTCTGATGTTTAAAGCAAGTTCACTAGCTTAACTAGCGGCTAGCGTTTATGATATTTTATGATGATATCATGATTTACTGGTTGGTGGTTGACCTACCCCTCTGAAAAATATGAAAGTCACTCTGAGTCGCTCTTTCGCTGTCGACACGATGGCCATTTAGGCCTGGCAGACGTGTTGACTGAAAAATATTAGCCAGTTGGGATGATTATTCCCAATATATGTTTAAAAATAAAAAATGTTCCAAACCGCCAACCAGATTATGTACAAGTAGTTGGATGGTCTTATAGGACACAAAAACTTGCGCAGTTCAGATGATCCTGCAGAAACTTGGAGTTGCGAAACAGAAAAAAAAACATACCATCTGGTTATTTAACATACGAGTAGCTATGGAAAATCCACTATAAATGGAGGTTTTAATGGGAAAATCATCTGTAAATGAGCCATTTTCCATGGCTATGTTAGTCATAACCAGAGGGTATCCCAAAAGAATCCCCAAGTTCTTTTGTGGATTTTTTTGATGTGTCCCAAAAAAATGTCACAAAAAATCATCAGATTTTGACAGAAACCTTCAAGCCGAACGTTGCATCCAGTCTTCCCACGGCCGTTGTGCAACGGAATTGGGCTACGCCGGGTGATTCTGAGATTCACCGAGGAATCGACTGAGATAAGCCGCAAAAAAGCTAGAGGAAAGAGATCCATCATCCCCAGTGAAAATGGTCAATGGAGGGAATATCTTCGGATATCACATCATGTTTCAGACAATCCAAAATGAAAATCATTGAAAATCCAAACTTTATCTGGGAAAATGATATAGTAATTTACTGAAAGAAGGCTTCTTCTTGGGATAATTCTCCTTACTATCCGCAGAAAATTCCAGGGCTCGCTCGTTGAGGTCGTGATCAAATTTACGACAAAGGATGGCGTTTCACTGGATTTTAAGAGGCCGCAAACATCTTCGAACTTAGGAAATCCCAAGAACCTTTCTTGGTAAGAACACAAATGATGATATGAGGGTTTCCATAAATGGAGGATATCCCCAAATGGATGGTTTATAATGGATAACCCGTCTATAAATGGATGATTTAGGGGTACCCCGGGTACCCCCATTTTAGGAAATCTCCATATCGATCGATATTTAAGTGTAAAGTGCTGTGGAGGATCCGAAAACGGCCAAATCATAGCCAACCATCTGGGCCAATGATAATTCATGATGTTCAAAAGCATGAAATAAGATGAAATGAGCACATTGGATACCCGGTGGCAATCCAACATATATAGCTAATTATGGAAAATAACCAGTTTTATCAATGTTTGATAGGTATGTCACGGTATGTCATTCTGTCATGTATTGATTCGATGGTCCATTTTCCATCTTAAATTACCAGAAGGTAGTTCCCCCACAGAAAGGCCCCCTCATAGGATTGACCAGTGCGAGCCGATTCCTGGGTTCAGTGCTGCTCTCTCGCACAGCGAGTCACGCCAAACCCAAGCGGGAAAGCGATAAAATTGGCACCCTGTCACCCTGTCTCATGCAGAAACAAAATCAACATGTCTACTGAGAATACGGGGCTTTCCATAAATGTTGGTACCCCCAGTTCTCATCCATTTATAGATGGCAGTGTGTCAAAATCTTGTACCCCTGGTGAACATCAAAATAGCTGGTAAATGGATGTTCATTCCCCTAAAACTTGTATTAATAGGTATTGATCCATACCCATTTATAGATAGGAGTTTCCCTTATCAACCATACATTTCGGGCTACCCCCATTTATGGAACCCTTTCTGTTAACGGCCAAGTCATGAGGCACCATCCATTTTGGAAGCCAGGCTCCCGAAACAGTACTTGACCATACTTGACCAGTTGCATAGCGCAGAGAACCGGAAAAAAACACACACATTCACATTCACTTGGTTAATAATGGTTAATAATGGCTAATAATGGTTAATAATGGTTAATAATGGTTAATAATGGTTAATAATGGTTAAGAATGGTTAATAATGGTTAATCATGGTTAATCATGGTTAATAATGGTTAATAATGGTTAATAATGGTTAATCAAGGTTAATAATGGTTAATAATGGTTAATGATTATTGAATGATGGTTAATCATGATTCATGATGGTTAATGATTCAATTCCATTCAATTCCATTCAATTTGGCAACACAGGGCATTCGCCAGGTTCGCCAAGTATGTTGTATCACCTCTTCTTCGGGCGTGTTCCGAAACCGCGCGCCGCAAAAGAGCGCGGTCGCGCTGCAGGATTCACTGTACGTTTCTGCCTCGCGGCATCCAAGGTAGATGGCTGGAAAGTCGAAGGATCATCATAGCACTACCAGGTAGAGAGGGGTGATTTTTTACCCTACAAGCTATAAATGGGGATAGCCCAAGCTCGCTGGTTGGTTTATTTCATGGGAAATCCTAGAACTGGCTAATTCTTCTGCTTTTTCTTGAGGGTTACACCACATAATCAGTCATAATGGTTTCTTGATTCACACTCATGAATTCTGAGACTTTCGTGTCCAAAAAGGATGTTTGACAGACCACCAACTGCGTTTGATTTTTTAACAACAACAAACTGCCATAACATGCCGTTAATATGCATCTGTCTATGTCCACCAGAGTTTCAAGAGCCATCTGCGTTGGAGAAGTACTAATCAGATCACAAATCTCCTGTGGCTATTGCGGCCTCCTTTTTTATACGTGAACATGTCCAGCGATTTTTTGGATACACCACAGTCATTGGTTCTAAACCTATCATGACCTTGCTAGCTGCTTGGTTTTGTCTGCCAACGGATGACACCAGGGCCCCAAATCTGGTTGAAAAACTGACACTTTGAAACCTCATCTGGTTGCTGGCTGGAATCATTCTGGGGTTTCATTGGAGATACCCGAAGGCACCATCTGCATTGGTTCGGCCATGGCAGGGGCGAACCCAGCCATCTATGCAATATGATCCTTGCATCGCTCAACAGTATCCCATCTTGTGACGAAATTTAGTGTCACGAAATAGGTCAACAAAGAACCCCTTCATTTTGACAGACAAAACCTTGCAGAAAAACAAAGTCATCATTCTATAGAATCCAGATATATCCAGATGATATAATCCCCAACAAGATGCAGAAAATCGGTTGGAGGAATTTGTCGGGTTGGATTTGGCTTTCGGGTTGGCCATGGGAGAACTCCTGCAACGTTGCAGGATCCCTCCGAATCCGAAAAAATCGCCTTCATCTGGCGACTTGGCCATCTGCGCGGCAACACAGCGAGAAAAACAGCAGTTTTTTCTTGGGGAAAATCAGCTGAAAGGTGGCGTTTTGTAGTTAGCTGATTCAGTTTACTAGAGTAACTGGGATAACTCGTGATGAAAGAACATAAGAAAATAGTGAGTCATGTCTAATTTGTCTAACAAACATAACTATAGGGATTCTTCATTCCAGAAGTTCAATAATGGTGGAGGGTAGATATACAGTAATTCAGAGAGATGCTTAATCTTTTGCACTTCGACCCTTCCCAGAGACCACCAGGATTGTTGCTTCGGAATGGGTTTCCTATAAGCTTCACTATCAGTGGCTGAGGGCCATCAGAATCCTTTTAGGGACGCTTGGAAAATCTCAAGGAGAATCCTAAGGCTTTCCTCTACATTTTCCCCCAAAAAAACAGTCCAACGATCTGGATAAATGAAAACATACCCTCTGGTTATGACTAACAGTTTGCTATTGAAGCCATGGCCATAGAAATAGTTGATTTATCCATTAATAGCATGATGATTTTCCATAGTTATGTTAGTTTACCAGAGGGTAATTCACAAGCCTGAAATAAAGCCTTTTGTGGATGACTCCCCTTACGAACCATAATTTGTTGTAGTTCATCCAGCATGACTAGTGTCATCCTGCAGTGCACGTTTCTTTCTTCGTTTCTTTGTCCAAAAAGCATGTTCAGGGTCAAGTCTTGGAAAGATTTGAGAAATACCAATTGGGCCGCAATATTTCAATGTGTCGCATCCAAAAAAAAACAAAATGATACTGGAGAACTTGAAGACCCATCAATTTGATTCACTGATTCAAAATGTGTGTGTCCGGCAACACAACATGGCTCTCTTGAGGGCCTCTCTTTACTCACTTACCAAACTATATCCCCGCGTTGCAGTTGGCAAGCCATCGACCCAATCATGAAATATTGCTGGAAACCAGGATTTCTGAGACTGTGTTTGTTATGACCTGGATGCAGTTACCCAGTTAGTGGTCCAAACCCCTATATGACCTATGTAATCTATGTATATATATATATATATAATCATCTCCCCAAATAGGCGGAAAAGTGAATCCCTTCTAATTTGATGATTTACTTTTCTGGTTGGTGGTGCAATAACCTTCTTGAAAAATCATGGAGTGAAAGTCACTGGGTTTCGGATGACATCCCATTAATATGAAATGGAAAATAATCCATTCATGTTTGAAACCACCAAGCAGTATAATTCATGTACCCTCTGGTGAACATACAAAAAGCTATGGAAAATGGCTATTTATAGTGGATTTTCCCATTGAGAATGGTGATTTTCCATTGCTATGTAAACGTTCACCAGAGGGTACATGAAAAAAATGGTCATTCGGTCATTCAGAAACATGGCCATGACATGTAGATGTCCAATCCCCATGATTCCCCATGTCCAATCCATGGCCAACCTATCAGATACCCTGCATAAGGTAATTATCCATTAACATTCATTAACATTCAATAACATTCAATAACATTCAATAACATTCAATAACATTCAATAACATTCAATAACATTAGCAATCATTAACAGTTCGACCCTGAAAATAGCCTAGTTTTAATGGAAACTCATCTACCCCGATGACTTCATGTCCATCTGGGGACTGGCCTGCCGCAATCGCGGGTACCGCACTGCTATCACCACAGAAGGGTGCATCTCCGGGTGGCCTCAGCTGGACACAACGTTGTGTAGGTCACCTGAAAATGTATAGAACATGGTGACTAGAAGAGCATAGTAACATAATGTAACATAGTATAGTTACATATAGTTACATATAATTTTTGTAGTAGCATTTGAATAGTAACTAAGATTTTAATAGTACATAATGTAACATGTTACATAGACTTTTGCAGCATTAATAGTATAGTTACATATCGTTACGGCACGTGAAACACGCCATGTGTTTCACACATCCGAAACGCCGAAACGCATCATTTTCACCGACGAACTGGTGCCGAACTTAACAGGTGACCCATGTGGTGCCCCAGTTAGTAGACACCATTGGTATCCATTGATTATCACATTCAGAATGATTCAGATACATCTACCCTCTGGTAGTTTAACATAGCGAACTGATAAATCACCATCTTTAATAGATAAATCATTCATAAATGCTCCATTTTCCATAGCTATGTTAGTTTACTGGAGGGTATATGGGGGTTTCCTACAATTGCTGGTACCCCCAGTTCTCATCCATTTATAGATGGATTCCATGAAATAAACCACCCAGCGAGCTTGGGGTATGCCATGGTTCACCAACTTGAGCTGAACTGGGGCACCACCTGGCGGATCGCAGACTCATTTTTTCATCTCAAAATTGCGTACCCTCTGGTTATTTAACATAGCCATGGTATAGATGGCCCAGTTATAGATGGTTTACCTATAAAAAATTGTGATTTTCCATGGCTATGTTAAATAACCAGATGGTAATATTTGTTGTAAAAAAAACACCGGTTTTGGTGCTCTCCTAGTCCCAGTGAATAGTAGAACATAGTAGAACCTCCATGTTGAGCAAAAAAAACCTCAGTAGAATGGCCTTGCAGAGATAGTCTGGTAGTACCTTCAATGTGTGCCCCCCCAGTTATGTTGGTCGGTTTTGTTTCACCCCATGAATACTATAGGCTATAGGTATAATACGAGGTATAAGACGGTATAAGTATCTTAAACAACAGTGAAATCAATTGGAGTTATAAATTGTAAACCAACTTAGCTATCTACGGGGCCCCACCCTCCGCTCGGTGCTTCAACGAGGCGCAGTTGAGGACAGCCCCCGCAGCCACAAACTCCGCTGCAGGCACAGGGCATAGCCACGGCATCACCTCAAAACACACCCAGCAAGGACAGGCAAAAAGGCAATTGATAGCCCTGGGACCCTTGGTTTCATGATGGTTATATACATTAATTACATATTGGTTATTACATATTATATACATCAATGACCTATATTATCCTATATTCATATTATATACTGTTGGGTATGACATATATACCATGTGTATATACGATGATCTGCCGAAAGTCGCAACGAAATTCGAAACGGAATTCGTCAGAAAAAAAAATCATAAAATCCTGACACCGGAACCCACTGAAGTTGCAGGGTTGCTATACCTATAAAGTTGGGCACTTAGAGAATCCCAGGCAAGTGGTTCGTAACCATAGCTACCGTTAAAATCCAAACAGATCGCCCACGAATGCGGGACATACTAACCAGGTGTATGAAAATAACCACTTACGCTTCGTGGGGGGTGAAATGCAGGCCACATCAAAATGGTAAACTTGCGGAATGATTCACTATTATTACTCCACTTAACATTAATCATCATAATCATCATTAATAATCATTAATCATCATTAATTATCATTACCACCATAATTACCCTGAAGTATGGTTATTCATTATTTATTAATGTTACATATCATAATAATCATTAATCATCATTAATTATCAGTAATTATCAGTACCACCATAATTACCATGAAGTAAAGTTTCATGGTAATTATGGTGGTTATGATTATTAAAACACATCATGAAGTACCATTATATAATCATTAGCAAAATTATACATTTGGTACTTAATGTGCCACTAATCAAGTACCATACATTATCAAGGTGCCATTAATCAACATATAAACCCATTGACATCCATAGGGGTTCTTGGTTAACATCCATTAAGATCCAATCTTGTAATTTCCCCGTTAATCAACATATATCTGGTTAGTGAACCATCTTGAAAAATATGAGTTCGTCAATGGGAAGGATGACATCCCATATATGAAATGGAAAATCATCCATTCATGTTTGAAACCACCAACCACTTTTCCATCTGGGGACATGTACAGTGACTTCATGTCCTGGCCTGCCATCGCGGGTACCGCACTGCTATCACCACAGAAGGGTGCATCTCCGGGTGATCTCAATCTGGTAATTTGCCCATTAATCAACCAGATAAGGTAATTATCATCTACTCCACCTTGATAACTTCAGACAAGGCACAGGCCATAGCCCCCACCATCTGATCTCCGGCGAAAGGACCGGTCCAGGAACCAGGGGCTCCTGGTGACAAAGGCTTTCCAAGGGCGAAGTTATGGTGATTTGATGGTGATTTAACGGGGATTTATATGGCGATATATGATTTACTATGATTTATGGTTGATTTCACCACTGAACATGAATTTCACCAAAGAAAATGGTGAATTTGACATATATGCTGACCATGTAGAACTCGATTCTGAAAAAATGGGGATGTAAACAATCAAAACTTTGGACTTGACCAGCCGAAACATGTTTGATTTCACCAAGTAACCAAGAATGGCGATTTAGTGACGAAGAAATTCTATATATTTATATACCAGGTAGTGCCCAGCACGCGCCGGGGCGGAAGTTTCGAAAATAGAACATGGCTTTAGGAACCAGTCTGCTTATAGGAATTCTTGGTGAGCTGGGAAAAGTGAATTGAAATAAAATGACATGATTGAATGGATGAATGACTGAATGAATGAATGAACGAATGAATGAATGAACGAATGAACGAACGAATGAATGAATGAATGAAAAGGAAGAAGAATGAAAGAATGACAGCTCATGATCAAATGATTCTAAAGGGTTATATAGTTCTACACTTGTTTTCTTTTTTGCAGCCTCTTCGGGCGTGTGGACGACATGCATCTCAATGATTTTGGCACATAGGCATGCTTTCACACGGGTGCATCGGTTTGTAGGGTTTTCGTTGCTGTTTCTTGTCGTAGCAAGACTCAGAAGGACAACATGGTTGTACAAAATTCGCTAATTAATTTCCATCGTCTTCTCTGGTGCTGCGTTGTTTTTTCCGTGTTGTTCGGTTTGGGGTCCGTTCCAACAGCACACGGATGGCATCGTCCTTAGGCTGTGGGCGAAGACGTTACCACCATGAACGTCGGGGTCACCCCCTGCTGAAGCTCTCGCTTCAGTCCTGTGGACAACTCTCCCTGATCGAGCCGCGAAACCGCAAAAACAGAGACCATCCTTCGGCGACCACGGAAGCCACTTTACCCGAAAAAACACAGGATTTCGCGCCCGAGAGTCTTTTCCAGCCTGAATTCACGCGTTCCCGACCTGCTGATGATGTGGTTGACATGATGAGAAAGATGGCCATGACAATCGTCAACTCGGAAGTTTCCTACCTAAACTTCCTTTGATCATCAAATTTACCCTTAAGACACATGTGGATTTTGACCATGTAGAAATTGATCTTAACCAAGAAATGTGTGGATTTTACCACTAAGACATGGAACTGAACCAAGAACAAATGCAGATTCAGCCATCATAAAATGGAGTTCACCCCATTTTAGGTGATTCCAGTTCTGATTTCACCTCAAAAATGCTGGATTGAACCATCAAGACTGAGTTCTATGTCTAGAACAGCTACAGAAAACGATCAAAAAATTCATGGCATCTGCCACACAGATTAATATATATAAATTATATAAATGTAGATTGGGATTTCACCCTCAAAACACCGAAATCTTGTTGAACTTCACCCAGGATGATTTTTTTTTGGGGGGCCCGCAGGAGCATCCCAGCCTTGACAGCCTTGACATGAGAAATTCTCCGCCGGGATCTGGGAGGGATCGATTGGGATCTCACCGTTTCATGGGGATCCGACCCTGCGCAAAGGTCTTCTGCAGCTTATACGAACGGTAACATGGTAACTTATATAGTAGATGATTTTCGCGAAATCAGTTTCCTGGAAAATATATGACATCTACTATGGTAATGAAATCCATTGATTTGTACATTGGTTTGTCATATATTTTATAATAGATGGTTTGTACATGGTATTTCCTGGCATGAAAATCATGAAAAATATGACCAACAAACCAATGGATTCGGGGCCCGGGGTTCCATTTCTGGTTTCACGTATAACTGGTGGTTTTAACATGCTGTTAATACTGGTTAATGATGGTTAATATATGGTTGATATATGGTTAATATATGGTTGATAATAATCTGGTTGGTGGTGCAATTTCACCATCTTGAAAAATGATGGAGTGAGTGAAAGTCAATGGGTTTCGGATGACATCCCAATAATATGACATGGAACATATAATTCATTCATCTTTGAAACCACCAAGCAGCGTTTAAATTATTGACTATCATGTGCTTCGGAAACTCTGATCGTAACTCCGCTACGTGCTCCCCATGCGATTTTGAGGGATTTTGTTGTGGCAAACAGAAGAATACACCAACTCATTCGACCTGGGGGTCATAAATTATGTCATCCCATTGCGTACGGCGTATGCCCAATATCATAAACTAACCTCTATTGGGGATGGTAAAAATTACTTGGTTGACCACATTTCAATGGGTTCGTTTCAGGGACAATGTGACCAGGAAAGCCCCTTTTTTTTAGAGGGAAAATCGATGGTGTCCGACGTAGATTTTCCCATAAACCAATCCATTGAACATGATGAATACAGATTATGGGAATGTAATAATCATATAAATCCCATACAACAATATTAATCATTAAAGATTATTGATATTTTATCCGCTCCCTACGTCCTGGATAGTGCCAGTCTACCGTGTGGCTATCCCATGGCCATGGCCATGGAAAATCACCATTCTCAATGAGAGTTCTCAATGGGAAGATCACTGGTTGGTGGTTTGAACCCCTATGAAAAATATGAAAGTCAGTTGGGATGATTATTCCCAAGGTTCCAAACCACCAACCAGATCATGTATAGTATACCCCCTGGTCAACTAACATAGCTATGGAAAATCACCATCAAAGATAGGCAAATCAACTATAAATGATCATTTTCAATAGCAAACTGTTAGTCATTACCAGAGGGTAACTGAATACAGTTAGATCATCGAGCATTCTTTCATGGACTGCCTGGAGATACAGAAGCTCTGGAATGGTCAGATCTCAGGGCTCCCAAATATAGGGTGGCGGTGCTTCAAATTTTTGTCACAGGTGCTTGGCTGCCTTCAACCTTTGGTACTCCGCGAAAAACGCACATCATGCGCTGACTTACAGCACTTGGGCACCGGACCATGACAAAGACTTGTTCGGTCTGCATCTGGCAGCCACTTGCCCCGTGAATTTCAATTGAATTTCTAATTTGGAAGTAGCGAAGGATGATTCCTGTCATGGAAGTTGAGTCACCCCTCTGAAAAATATGGCTTCGTCAGTTGGGATTATGTTTTTCCAATTTATTGAAAAATAAAATTCATGTTCCAAACCACCAACCAGTAATCATTATACTTATATTGGGGAATCCACTAATTAACTCGGCTGGTTATAATAATGATGATTATATCATGTTTTTTGATGAATTATCACTATTCCATAACGTCATTATTATTCCATAACCAGCCATTGGTTTTAGAGTCTATCAGTATTATTCCATAACATCATTGATACCATTGGAATATATGATAATTTCTGATACCATTGTTAATATTCCATAAGTCATTGTTAATAACTATCATTACAATAGATAACTATTACCATAATTATCTACTGTAGTCATTGTTCAAAACCACCAATCAGTTCCTGTCAACGTCTCAGCCCAGCCAGAACTCGGCCGCAAAAAATCCTCAAATAATATAAATCATAAGAATGTTGATAACAATAATGATGCTAGATAATATGTAATAACAACATATTTTGATATATATATATATATGTATAATCATATATAATTATATATAGTTAAATATAAACATATAAATTATATATATATAATTAATTTTAATTATCTATCTTATCTATATAATACAATTAGTTTTTATCCAGTACAGTACTTGTTGGTTCCGCCATCCCGGCACCTCGGGTTGATGCCCCGGCCACACCGCGAGGCCTCGGCACCAGGCGTTTTAAACGAAACCGGGCCGTATCCTCCACTTGGGAGGATATGGTAAGATATGGTAAGATGGAAGATATGATATTTGGGTAAAATACATTTGGTACCCATTTTTCAATTTGGGTCATTTTTTGGGATTTTTTTATGATTAAATGGTGGTAAGATATGGTAAGAGTGATGTAAGAGTTTTCGAAACATGGAGCATATGGGTAGCCCAAGTGTCGGCTTTATGGTGGATTAAGCTTTGTTGGATGGGCCTCCATTTTTCCCCGAAATCAGCCAATCCCTTAGAGGAGAAAACCACGGCCAATCAAGCTACGGTCGACTGTCACGGCCATTTTGGTCCACAACCAAACATGAAAACATATGGCGATGAATCATAGATTTGGGTGCCCAAAAAATATGAATGATTGCTCAGTAATCAAACACGAAAAAATGGACAATTTCCCATGTGTAGATCATTTACCCATTAATTCGCCTGCATTTATGGGGATTTGCAAAATCCAAGCCTGCAAGCCGCGTTTGATGATTGTAAAATGGAATGGGCAAGGCGCTAATTTTGCGATGGCCATATGGTGGTTGTCTAATGGGCTACCAATTCCAATGGATAACGGTGTCAGACCATCTCTATTAAAGAAAACATTTAAGAAAGGTATGTATTTCAACATGTATAAACTTTAGAAAAACCATTCTCAGACAAAGCCATCTGTACATATCATCATACATGTATATATATATATATAGCCACCAATGGGGCTTTGCGTCACAGCCCTCTTTCAGGGCTGTTAAGCTCATCTCCATCTGGTGAAGAGGCATGTGAGCATCAAATGCAGCGCAAGGACAAGGATGAAACATCCCAGCCATTGCAAGTGGGTAAGCAATCTTCCGAGTTACGGACAAATACATGAAAATTTGTGTGACTTTGTGAAGTGGGTTGACTTCGGGAAGTGATGATTTAGAGAAGTGGTGACTTGGAGAAGTGCTGACTTAGTGAAGTGGGTTGACTTAGAGAAGTGTTGACTTGGAGAAGTGCTGACTTAGAGAAGTGGCTTTGTAATGGCTGCATGAACGTTGCATGGGACAGTGAAGGATAGCTCCTTTATGCCACAGTCACTGCATGGTTGCAGGTCGAACTGGAATGGCTGCATGATTGTTGCCATGTTGTGTTGCCATGTTGTGTTGCCATGTTGTGTTGCCATGTTGTGTTGCCATGTTGTGTTGCCATGTGTGGATACATCCGGGTTTGTACGAACTAAAACTGGGAAGTGTTTTGTGCACGGCTTGCAGTGCGAAGTAGTACTGGGAAGTATTTGCTGCAAGCTTTCTAGTGCAAAGTAGTACCGGGAACTGCCTTGTGCAAGCTTTGTAGTACAAAGTAGTATTGGGAAATATTTTGTGAATCTCTTGTAGTACAAAGTAGTACTGTGAAGTATTTTGCGAAAGTCTTGTAGTACGAAGTAGTACAGGGAAGTGCCTTGTGCAAGGCTTGTGTACAAAGTAGTACTGGGAAGTGCTTTGTGCAAGATTTGTACTACAAACTACTACAGGGAAGTGATTCTGTGTGTGCAAGGGTCGCTGTGTAAAAGTTTCTCGGTGCAAAAGATTCTGTCTATAAAAGCTTCTGTGTGTAAGAGCTTTTATCTGTCAAAGGTTCTCATGTGTAAAAGCTTTCTGTCTGTAAAAGCTTTTCTGTGTAAACGCATCTGCTTCTAAAAGCTTGTCTGTGCAAAAGCTTTCTGTGTGCAACGGTTATTGTGTATAAGAGCTTCTCTCTGAGTACGGGCGAGCTGAGATAACTTAAGAAGAGCTTCTATGAGATGCAAGAGGTTAAGCAGTGCTCAAATGAGATGAAAATAGTTGAGAAGAACTCGGATGACATATGAGAAGAGATGAGATGAGAAGAAATAAGATGAGCTGAGATGAGCTGAAAAGAGCTCAGATAAGACGAGATGAGATAAGATGAAGTGTGGAGTGTGAAGTGTTGAGTGTGAAGAGTGCAGTGTGAAGTGCGAAGTGTGGAGTTTCAAGTGTGACATTTGGACTAGTGCACCACTTTCGCACAAAGCACGCAGGCACGGGCCTTGCTAGCGCTGGGCGCACGCAAGTTCTATAGATGAAAAAGGTCTTATAGTATTAGCCTAAGGCAACTTCCGCCCCGCCTCAGGCAAGTACTCTATACTGGCATTTAATATTATATTATGCCCCAGTTGTATATGGAACTTCCCTTGCAGTATAGTTAGATTAGTTAATGGGTTCTTAACTACTGTGGATGGTGAAGAAATCCTCCTCCAGTTGCTAACTATTGGTAACTATGAAACACTGTAGACAATGGAATTATAACGGGATAAACCATCTACCGTAGATCTACCAACTGGTGCAGGATTTCGCAACCATCCACAGCTTCCATGCTGAATATGGATGCCGCAGATGCCGCTCCAAAACGCTCCATGGGAGAAGCACCAGATAGATACAATCCATTCTCAGTTGACTAGGTTTTGAAAAAGATCGCCTGCAGGCAGTGGAAGGTGTACCCTCCAGCAATAGCTGAGGGGATGCGTAGACATGCGTAGACCCTCCAGTCCACAATGGCTGAGGCTCATGATTGCTGGAGCTTACTCCTTCACCTCTAAACAATGTGAATTCAGTTTCTACCATAGCATCGAACACCTACGGCAGTTTTGGTTTCTGAAAGAACCATATCAGCCATCTGATGGTTTCAACCTCCCCGATCTGCCACTGTTGAAAATCCAGAGATCGTTGGCTGTTTGAGTTTTCCCAACATGTCCAAACTCAAAAAGATGATACCCCCCGTAACAAAATCAATCATGGCCGGAAAATGCACCATAGTTCGAGAGTTTTCACATCTACAAACCAACATTTCTAGAGGATTTTCCGATCTCTTCCTATGTTTTCCTCTGGGCCCCCCAGGGGCTCCCAGACTTCCATCCGGGAACTGCAGGGCAGGGTGGTCCCACCTGGCACGGGACGGTGAACGCTATCGTGGCCCCATCTTGATGGAACTCTCAGAAAAGCATCATTTATAAAGAGGATTAATATAAGGATATCCCATGTATATCCCATTTATATCCCATTTATATCCCATTTATATATATATATATCCCATTTATACCTACTAACAGTCACGGATAGCAATTGACAGTCTTCATTCTTCTTTAGCTCCAAATGGGGGATACCCCAATAGCTGGATGGTTTACTTCATGGAACATCCCACAAAAAAATATGATGGTTTCAAACTACCAGTAGGGTTTTCTATGGTCAATATTTTTTTTGTCCACAAAAAAATGGTACCCCCTGGTAATTTAACATAGCTATGGAAAATCACCATTTTATAGCTGGGTAAATCCACTTTTTCTATGGCCATTCTATAGTAAGTTTACCAGAGGGTAATCTTTTGCTCGAGCCTTGCTGATGTGAAAAACATTGTTTTCCATAACCAAAAAAACGTTTACGGATTTAAAGGATTCATCCAAGGTGAGGTCGAGAGGTGACATGGTGAAATGAGTCTTTTTGCGATTTGGATTGATTGGTGAAATATGGTGAAAAACAATAATGATTGTAAAGTACAGTAAGCTTCAATGGTTTTTATAATTTTCAATATGATAATCAATCTTGAATGATTTTTGTGATTGAACAAAATATTGATCATAAAGTAAGCTTCAAAAAGAAGAGAATAGGCATGCCATTTACCACTATAAATTTTAGAATTGGACGTCACTTTCCTATATCTCTTTGTGGCTTGCTATAGTTATGATTCATGGTTCACAGTGCATCATTGCTAATCTGTAGTTAATTAATACTGATGTGTCGATTGTAATTGATAATTTTGGACTAGGACCCAAATAACATTTGGTTTGGATGCTTCGACCATACTTGGAGAACCCAAGGAATGGTGACTCGTCAAAAAAAAACTACGACCAGTAAACCCCCCGACGGCTTTCATCCTATCATATCCTATGCATCTTTGGTGGAAATTGTTCAGTGGATCTACTTGCCAGAACTCGCAATGGTCCCTTTACGCAGCATTTCCCGAAGGTTGTAAAACCCGAACTTCTTGTTGGTTACAACATACGAAAGGAATCCGTTACACATCATTTTTGTTGGTCAAAATCCCCATTCAGCAAATTTGTCAACCTTGCATCAGTTGATTGCATCCAGTTTGAATCCGTGCAAGTTCCATCTCCAACGATACGTTGCTAAGGGAACCCAAAATGACCAATCTGGGATCGACATATTATCGCTTCTGAGAATCAGGCATGGCCTGAGGGGAATCCGGATCCTTTTTTTCTCCTTACTCGGAAACTCATCCATACAGCAGGAAGTGAATGCAGGATGTTTCCCTTTTCTGATTCCAATAAGTTACAGCTTATGGCTTCAAGATCCCCACCAAGTCATTCAGTGAGTTGATCCGATTTAATTATGTGCTGGAAACTTTTTCCATCCCAATGTTCAATCATTGATATAAATTGAAACCACGTAAGTTTAATCACAAATTGGGGCAGCCTGAACATATAAAAAGCCATATGAAAAAACCATGTGTGGTGCTGAATAATCACTGTTTGATGCCCAAGTCCGACCCGAAAGGCCTGCAGGTTTCTCCTCGTGGGCAATAGCCATTCTGAAGCCATTCCCAGCAGGCATCCCAGCTCTCCTGGCGGTCCATGGTTACAGTAAGCCTCGTGGCAAAGGCAACGCAGCCGCAACGCCAAGCAAACCAAACAATGGTGCTTGTACGATGTACGCAGATTTTACCGGAAAAAAACAGTATGCACTTCTATACCCTTAAATATACATATATATATATATATGTATGTATTTATCTATATATAGTTATATATATATATATTTAAAATGACCCTCAAATGGTTGGCGACCAGGATGGTCTAGGCTTTAGGATTGGCATTTCTCATGGTGTACTTTCGGAAAATTCTCAGCCTAGCTCCAAGACCGTTGAGCAAGCCATCGAAAAATGTCAAATCTGACCCTCAATGGTCAAAAAAGGGATCATGACCGTCATGACCATTTGGTCAGGGTTCGCAAGAACAGTGAGGTCGTGATCAAATGAATCAAATTTACCCAGATATCATGTTATATCCAGAGAAGTCACCTCCTGCAGCTGAACTCAGCTCCTCCGGCATTTCGGGGTTCTCCATCTCCACCCCAACGCCACCAACCATCGCCATTTGTTGCATTTGCTGCCTTGGACCAAGCACCCGGGCCATGAAACCCATGAAAACCATGCAGATCATGTGCCCCGCGAAGATCCATGAGGATAGTGTACAAGATGTTATAAGATCTTATATAATTTATATAATTCATACGTCTTTTTTTAGTAGCACTTATAATCTTTAAATTTATGAACTCCATAATACTCCAACTTACCCTCTGGTAAACTAACATAGCTATTGAACATTGCCATTTATAGTGGATTTACCCATTAAAAATGGTGATTTTCCATAGTTACGTTAGTTTACCAGAGGGTATGTACTAAAGTCACTATCTTAAATTTGAGTTCACCAGCAGCCACCGATAAAACGCGTTCCCATAAAAGAGACGCGAAATCGGTGAATTCCCTGCCCCTGAGGGCCCCTGAGCCACCCCCACATGGCTTGAAACTGAACCTGTGACGCGTTTTCGGATGGGGCCCCATTAAACTTATTTTTGTTGGTTCATAAACGATTATAACCCCCATTAACTAGTTCGTTATATCTACCATAAACCATAGTTAAGCCACTTATATATATTATATAGGCAACTGAACGCTAGCGTGGGGGGCTCTATCTTGATGGAACTCTGAGAAAAGCATCATTTATAAAGTATATCCCATTTATATCCCATTTACACCTACTAACAGTCACGGATAGCAATTGAGAGTCTTCATTCTTCTTTAGCTCAATGGGGGATACCAAAAAAGAGCTAGATGGTTTACTTCATGGAACATCCCACAAAAAAATATGATGGTTTCAAACTACCAGTAGGGTTTTCTATGGTCATTTTTTTTTTGTCCACAAAAAATGGTACCCCCTGGTAATAGCTAGATGGTTTATTTCATGGAAAAAAAACAACAAATGAACTTTGGGATGATTTTTGGGGCACCACCCATTTTAGGAAACCTCCAAGTAAGCCTCCCAGACCGGAGCCGGGGGATTTTTTGATTCGAAACGGGATTCTCCGGCCCTGGGGCCCTGGGGATTGGGTAAACAACATGCTGGGTACCCGGCCTGGTAAACGTTTACAGTTCGCGAAGTGAAAATCCACCTATTTTTACTAGGTAAATCATTAAAGCTGGGCCATTTTCCCTAGCTATGTTAAATTACCAGAGGGTAAATTGTATGAAATAAGACTAACCTGAAATATTTCTATAATGGGATGATTCCAGCGAGGTCAAAGTGAGGTCACTATCATTGACCCATGGGTATTGGTTGAAGTTCTGGAAATCAGAAGGTGAAGCGTCACGTTATCCCTCTCACCAAGGAATTCCTCAAGTTGCTTCGAAAATCTAGGAGATCTAGGAGCTTCAAAAAGGGTAGTCAAAACCCTGGGACAGGTAGGGTAGCCTAAAAATGTTAAAAATCGCTGGATTTATGGATGTGTATTGCCGCAAATATGGATCATCAATAAGTTTTGACCCATCCCCATATGGTCATGATTGAAAAAACCCTCCGGTGTCAAACATGGCTGGCAGATCCACCATTTGCTTCGATGATTTTCCCAGCGAACTAAACCTTCCTTTTTTATCGTGTTTTTCCCTAGCCACCTTTGATTACCAGAGGTACATACTGTGGATCGAAGAAATCCTGTACCAGTTGGTAGATGGTTTATCCCATGATAATCCCATTGTTCACAGTGTTTCATGGTTACCTAATGGTTACCAACTGGTGCAGGATTTCTTCCGTCCACCGTGTGTTTACGATGTTTTCACGTTAGATTGCACTATAAGTATAAGATATATATATATATGGTATATATGGTATACTAGAGTGTATATATATATATATACACACACTTTGTACATGTATATATATAGTTTTGTATATAATTATGTATGTATTTTTTCATGGTGCGATATACTTGATACATCATTTATGGATATTTATGGTATATTTTATGGTATATTTGTGTTCAGGTTTCTGTTTTCATCTGCTGCCTCCGAGTTCATTGCCCCTGGAGTGAAGATTTCTGCCTCGGGAAACGCGTCGCATGGGAAAGTCGCAAAGTTCTCACCCGGGAAAAATGGAGAAAATCACCAATCCCCTCAGGTAAGTTATATAATATCTATTTGGAGAATATTGATGGAGAATAACTAGTGGAGAATATTGATAAAAATGCCATAAATGGGAGGGTACCCCAATAGCTGGATGATTTATCATGATTTGGGGGTACCCCCATTGATAGGAAACCTCCATCTGGAAAACCAAAACCGGACGAAACCCGGAAACCCCTGGATTTCCATCATGCCCATGCCCATCCCCATGGGATTCAAGTCCCGTGATGGCTACAGACAAACCCATCCCCTTGGGAAAAGCATCCATATTTTGATAAATAGAAAATCTACAAGATATGAAAATCATCCCCGATTTTAGTCATCCGAAAATCATATGAAACCAATTGAAACCAACATCTTGTAGATGGATGGTCACTCGCCGATGGTTGGGACTGGTTTAGAAACAATTACGTTGGGCTGCCAAGATACGAACCATCAAAATTGTTTGCACCAAACTTCAACCATTGAACTGTGTCAAACTGACATGACATGATGCACGTTGATCCAACAAACACATGAAGCCTACCATCACCTTTGCCATTAGTCCAAATCATTCCTGCAAAGATCCACTGAAACTCATTGAGATGGTCATCAAGCCCATATCTGCCAATCAAAATGATCATCACTGCTTTACACCTGACACTTTCCATAGGGTCAAACAAAAATGATTGCCACCAAAAAAATACGGAGGAAACCGAAAAAGTGAAGCTGCATCCGGTGGTCAACTTCATAAACGCTTCATCTACAGTGTAGGGTTTCTCAGACTGTAGTCTTTTTCCCCTTTATCTTGAACATTCACAAACCCTGATTTAGTATTTGCCCTGTTCACGGATTGAGGTCACATTGCTTCAGGAATTGCAATCGGAGAAGATGGGATTGCGTGCAAAATTGCTGCAAGATCTCCTCATTCTTGCTTCCCTGCTTCCCAATAGCAACTTTTTCCGAGCTAAATTTCCAAAATGGTTGTTTCATTGTGAACGTGCTGTCTAAACTCCAGTTTCTGTTGGTTAGAAATCAACTTTTGTTTGATAAAATTTATTCCTGGTTGGTGGTTTCAACCCCTCTGAAAAATATTAGTCAGTTGGGATGACTATTCCCAATATATGAAAAAATAAATAAGCCTTCGGTGGTATCCCCCACAGCCGCAACGTTGTATTTTTGCAAACCTTTCTGAAGCATGCTGCGAAGCCAAGCGCTGGAACCTTCTCCGGAATGCTGTTGAACCTGACTTGGCTCTGCACCAAAGCCTCCCAGACCTTCTCCGGGAACCTTCTCTGGAACGTGTTGAACCTGACTCTGCACCAAAAGCCTCCCAGGTCTCCGTAACCTTCTCCGGAACCCTATTGGACCTGACTTGGCTTTGCACCCAGGCTTCCTGGAACCTTCTGCAGAGCCTTCTCCGGAACCTTCTCCGGAACCTTCTCCGCAACGCTATTGAACCTGACCTGGCTCTGCACCAAAGCCTCCCAGACCTTCTCGGGAGCCTTCAGAACCTTCTCCGGAACCTCGTTGAACCTGACCCGGCGCCTACACCAGTGCACACCGGAGCTATTCTGGGCTGAAGACCCCATTAGCTTACGCTGTTGGGGAAAAATGTTCCAAACCACCAACCAGCTATTCAGATACGTTGGCTAAATTCCACATTGTCCCAATGGTCTAATCCCTGATTTTGTTGGTTAAGTTCCACATTTCTCATGGCTAACTTAAACCAGTTCAAACCCATTTTTGCTGGTCAAATGGCTATAGATTATAGGGTCAAAATATGTCAAGATCACAGGAGCCCTTATGTTCACCCCAAAATAGTTGGTACATGGATGTTCATCCCCCAAATGTGGTATACCTGGTAATCCAACACATAGCTTTTCAAGCAGTCAATCATTTTTCACCAGCCCAGCGATGGGATTACAGGTGAAATCTGTAGGTTTAGGGTTGGTCAATCATTTCTGGTTGGTGGTTGACCTACCCCTCTGAAAAATATGAGTCAGGTGGGATGATGAAATTCCCAACTGAATGGAAAGTCATAATAAATTCCATGGTTCCAGTCAGCACCAATCAGATTTTAATTCATCATTCCTTAATCAATGACCCTTGCATTGGCCAAACATATGGTAGGTGCCTGAAACAAATGTTTACCCGAAATGGCCATTGAATGACCCAAACTCAAGTTTTCCAGTATTCCCCATCCCATTTCAGGCCCGGACCCCACTGGACCTCAGGCTCTGAGATGATGAAAATGGACATTTGACTGATTTGATTTTTAGAAACAACGGATTGGTTTTAAGGATGTTTTTCCGGGAAATCTGTAGGAAATTCCATGGAATTTTCCCTGGAAATATGGGGCTTTCCCAACACTTCAAGCAATCCAACCGAAAAAAAAACAACAATTCCTGTGGATTTCACAGCACGATTTTGGATGACGTCTGGAAACTTCGGAAACGACATGGGAATTTGAGCATGGCATCACCCCTGGTGAGCAGCACACACCATTTCCCGGGCCCCGGGCCCTACATCCGCCCGTTGAAATGGCAATTTTTTGGAGTACCCCGTTTTCAGACATGATACCCACATGTCACATGTAGGTACGGTATAACTACAACTAGACCATACAAGGAACGTCCAGGTATTCGTTGCAATGGCTGAACAAAAACATTGTTTACCTTACTTCGAGTGATCCCCACCCTGACACATTCTGATATATATATAGTTTCTGGCATATTATCTGGAAGCATACATGGCATATATATTCTGACATTCTTTCTCAGCGTCTATCTGGCATCTATTCTGACATTCTATCTGACATTTTTCTGGCATACACTGTGACATTCTTTCTGGCATTCTACCTGGCATCTAGTCTGACATAGTTTCTGGCATTCTTTCTGACATTCTATCTGCATCTATTCTAACATTCTTTCTGGCAGGTGTTCAGGTCCAGGCGTGCCCTGCATCCAGAGCTTGCGATAGGGTTTGGTACCAACAGTCACGACGATCTGGCAGAAGAGTAGACGAGGAGAAGAAGGAGGAGTTGCACGAGGAGAAGAAGGAGGAGAAGAAGGAGTCTCAAATCTGGCTGGACATGAATAAGATCTTTGGGCTTATCCATCCCGCGGTTCAGAGAATCAATGTGTCCCATGATTTTGTTTTAATGGCTGAAAATCCCTAGTTTTCAGAAAATATCCACTTTTAAAAGCCGCAGTGTCAAACACCAATGGTTGATGGTTAAAATCCAAGTTGCTGATGGAACAAACGACATGTTCGAAATTATTCCAAACCACCAATCCGCATTCAAAAGACTCGAAGTTCACGTCCGTCGCGCTGATTTTTGTTCGCCAAACGTTTTCGCAGAGCTGGTGTCTACTTTGGAGCACAATTTCTAACTCCTCTGCACAGGAAGGATTTGCTTTTGGTAGCGATCAGTGGCCACAGGAAACCGTTAAAAACATGTGTGATTCTCCAGCTGAAACTCCAATGAATGTCATTCTCAGCATACTCAGAAAATTTATATATCAGAACCCATAGCTCACACCGGGAAATCTTGAAAGTCTTGGCCAGAACGAACCCATTTTTCTAACCGTTAATGGCAGCCCCATTTTGAGACTGTCTGCATTCAATTGATTCCTCGCCTCAACATGCTGCGCGGGGAAAACGTGCATACAAAAAATGCGAAAAGAAAACAGCACAAATTCATATTATGTCACATTAATTCATATTATGTATATTAGCTTATGTTACCTTTATTAGCTAATTACATGATATTGTATAACTTAGAATTAGTTGTAGTTAAGTATGATTATAGTTTTACTGTCTTATAGTTTGTCTTCAGCAATGCGGTATCAAATTATATTAGTTCTATTCTACTTATGGTCAAAAGTCGAGACATTTGAAACACTCCCGAACCAATACCTACCCTGCATTGGTCTGGGCACGTTATACCAGTACACTGGGGATGTTGAAACGAAAAACAATGGGATGGTATTACATATGTATATATATATACATATGTATATATTAGATTATGGGTTTGAATGGGCTGTGTCCAAAAATGGGGAGCCCAAAATTTCAATTTCGATGGGAAAAATAATGATCGCAAAAAAATTGGAAGACTCGAAATTTGCAAATGAGGATCAGAACCATCGATGCCCTGTGGGAAGCAATTTTGGGTTTTGTGGGATACAAGCAAGTTTTTCCACATAGTGTAGAAAAAAGAATAAGAATCTGAATCTACAGCATTTACCCTTCAAATGATTGGGTAGAACTAACTCCCCACGTTTGTGGGGTGGAGTCCCTATGTATAAGCGAGAAATAAGCCATATTTGAAGAGGTTGGTTTGTTGATGATATCTCTACCAGTATTAGCCATCATCTACAGTGAAATCTTTGCGGCTCGAACTGGCCCGGATATAGGGAGATTTGTCTGAGAATGGGGTATGCCACAATAAGTGACCATTCCTATAGCAAACTCCATTAGATCCATTTCCTTTGTAGCTAGACTCAGTTGGACTTACATTGAATCTTACATATTGCCCTAGGATAAGCAAACCTATAGATGTTGAAAATCCATGCTTTCACGTTCACAGTCTACAAATGGTAGGTAGGCTTTCCACATCTATGAAAGTTTATAGGAGAGTAAAATGTTTCATATCAATGATTGAGATATATATTGAGATATATATTGAGATATATATTGAGATATATATTGAGATATATATTGATATATATATATATATTGAGATATATCGGACACGCCACATATTTGACTTATTTTCACTAGGCTAAGAAAAACCAGTTGCGAGGACGGTGGATCCAGTTCTCGATGCAGGCCGCGTCCAAGGATCAATGGCATCAAACTGTATTGTCATAAGGTAAATGATACCCTCTGAAAACTAACAGTTTGCTATGGAAAATCACTATTTTCAATGGGTAAATCCACTATTTCTATGGCCATTTTCAATAGCTTTTTGTATGTTAACCAGAGGGTATGCATCAGTTTGACCCGCGCCAACTGCCAAGTTCAGCGTTGCGGCAGTCCAGAATCAAAACCACCTGACGGGGCTCCGGACTGCAATGACGGTGTCAAAATCTGGTAGCAGTGGATCCACAACAAGACATGTTCCGAAAGTTGATTTGGTTGAATCAGACTAACTCACTATCCTGAGACTCAGATTATCCACATAATATGTAATATGTATATATATATACAATGTATACATATATAATATACATATCATAGTCACAATGATGATTATCGCTATACACCAACCTGAAATGAGACTTCTCTAGTTGATTTGACTAAATATTCATATGTGTGTGTATGGATCTGTGACAACACCTCACTAACCCAAAAGATCGGTCGTTTTGGGATAGTTCAAGGATCTGAAACCGAAGGGTAAATACCCTCTGGTAAACATACAAAAAGCTATGGAAAATGGCCCATTTATAGATGGTTTACCGATTAAAAATGGTGATTTTCTATAGTTTTTTGTATGTTTACGAGAGGGTAGTGACCCTGGCCCGTGTGGAAGATAGAATCCAAAGCTGTTGCCTGCCAACTCCATTCCTGCTCTGGTTGATGTGGATGTACCCTATGGATCCAGTCGTACCTTCTGATTTAGGAAGTGGGACTGGGGTAGAATTTACGATCATTTGGAGGGTTATATGAGTACCTTCTCAGACAGTGGCCATGGAAAGTTTGATATATATATATATATTTATTTATTTATTGAACTGGTCATTTTTATTCACACAAAAGGATCTAGTTGTTCGCAGTACGGAACTTTGGTGTCCGTCGCACGGGGGGTGTCAGCTTTTCGGTCAAGCACTGGGGAAAGCATGAAGTGGTTGGTGGTGTTAATCTATCCCAAAAAACATCCTCGTCATCTCAACCAATCATCCCAAGTGTGGTTGAAAAACCACTATAAACCACCAACCAGTGAAATGATGGGTTAAAACCAACCAGTTGTTTATTGTGGTTCAATAAACATTTGAAACTACCAGTGAAAGCTGTTCGAAACGCACACGTTCAACGCTGGGTCGGCAGGATTCGGCAGGTCTCTTGCGTCCCAAGTCCCCCACATGTTCCCCACATTTTGAGGTCAACCCAACAGCGAGTGGCCACCAAAGGGTAGTGCATTAATTTGAGGATTTACATGGCAGTGTGTCAAAACCTTGTACCCCTGGTGAACATCAAAATAGCTGGTAAATGGATGTGCATCCCATTAAAAATTGTATTAATAGGTATTGATCCATAGCCACATGGCTATGCGGCTATAGGTCCGCTATAGCCTATTTCAAGTGAGGAAGGTATTACCAGCATTTGCTGAGCCGCAACTTTTTGGGGTCCAGCCATGGGGCAACTCTCGCCCAGCAAATCCAGGCAGTCCGACACAGCAGGTTGCAGCATCATGTCATGAAAAAACAGTGGATTGATAAACCCCAAAGGGCTGTTTGAATGGTTTATTTAATCCGGGCTTGACATGACCCAAAATCCAAAACTTCATTTACCATGAACTGCCCATTTTTCTGACCTGCTTTGTCGTAGTTGGCTGAGTAAACCAATGTAGACCATGGATCCTCGAGCCCCATAAACGAAGGATCTGATCATTTCCGTTGGAATCCCATTCCTAGCACTGTGAGATGCGAGCAAGCGAGCTGGAACTGCTGTTTTATGTATGTATATATAGTACATGTATAACACAATTATACAGGTATACCATGAATACATGCACAAAATGTATATATGTATATACATTGATACATCCACACGTGCATATACATGTCATAGATACGTATGTACATATATATATATATATAGAGATATAAAAGTCATGTGCAATATATACATATATGTAGAGATGTACACATGTATATGTCTTGAGGAATGCTTACAGCTGGGAGTGACTCTCATTGCTTTCCAGAAACTGAACTGCAAAAATGGCGGTAGGTGGATCCGTCCCAACTTTGCAAGAATCCATGGTCTTCTGAGGCGTGGCGCGAAGTTTTGCTCAGGAAGATGTGAGATGGCCAAGCTCAGAAGCCAGGGGTGATGTTATTCCCCTATAAGTTGGTAGATGTTGGGATATATATATATATTATATATATTATATTATATATATATATATATTATATATATTATATATATACTGTATATATTATATATATAATCCCTACAACAATGCTTTTACAAGCACCGTTGTTGGAACTGCAGCACAAATAGTTGCAGCATCTGCACAAAGGGGATGTGTACCAAATGCATTGCATTGCATTCATAAGAAGGACTGAGAACCAAGGATGTCTGAAAACATCTAGGGAATCACAAGCACCGCCGTATCGAATAGTTTGCTATAAGCATATGCTGATCCAGATTTTTGTTCAGATTGCAACCCCATTCCGAAGCCTGCATCCTGAGGGTCGATCGCACGGAAGTCAGGCTGTATTGAAATTTCCAGAACCTCTTGGAATCTCGCACTGAACATCACTGAAGAACCATAGCTTCCATTTTAAGATGCATCGCCAACCATCATCACTCGCCCTTCTCGATCAAAATTGACTTGGGTTCTTAGGTTTGTCTGAAATTTTATTTGTACCATTAAATCGCCAACCATCATCATGGTTCCCCTTCAAACAGCCCGTTTTCGGGCATACTTTTGTCTGTTGCGGGTGCCCTTAAATTTTCATGGTTATCACCATATGTCCCATGGGAAACGGCAGCTCTGGCGAGTATACCCCATGTATCGTGGTCAAAACGAGGCCATAAACCATCCATTTGGGAATGGTAAACATCCGGTTTGTACAAACCACCCATCAACATGCTGATTTATTTGGGGGATGGTTTATTGTTTTATAACATGTTTTAACATGTTTTAACATGTTTTAAGCACATTAAAGACAACCCCGTGACAACCCCCCATCCTGCAGGGAATTTCTGCTATCCCCAGACCTGACCATCCACCCTGGAGCCCGCGGAGCCCCCGATCGCCGGCTCAACCAGCATCGGTCGCATCGGTTGCATCGGCGCGTTTTCGAAGCCCTGGGGCCAGAGATGGGGTTGTGGAAACAAAACCTGTGACTTCAGGAAAAATGGTGGATGAATTGGGAGTTAGTATAGATTAAATAATATAAAAAATTAAAAACAATAAATGAATAAAATGAATACAATCCCTTCCCAGTAATATTGGACTGGAAACCCTGCTTTATTTTTGGATCTATTCATGCTCAGGACCCTAATAGGCTATTAGGGATTATTTACAGTAATAGGGATTATCTACAGGTGAAATTTGTCCAACAAATGGAGCATCGCACTAAATCCGATGCTATACAGTAACATGATTTTCAGTCAGTTTCCCCATCTGACCCCACCACCAGAGTCCGGGGCTGTGTCATTATGGACCTCTGAGTTCATGCGAGAGTCGAGTCAGTTTCCCCATTATATATATATATATATATTTATGTATCTATTTATTGATTGATGAATTTATTTTGGCGTAGACAAAAAATATCTGTTGGAGAAATCCTTCAAAACCCCTGCTGGTCGACCATTCGTTCCGGGATCAAAAACTATCCAGTTTTTGTTGGGGACTATCAGTACCCTCTGGTAAATTAACATAGCCATTGAAAATAGCCATAGAAATAGTGGATTTACCCATAAAAAATTGTAATTTTCCATAGCTTTTTGTATGTTTACCAGAGGGTATCCATTATGGGAATCCCTATCAACCAACCAGTACAGCTACTGCGGGCGATGGCATTTTTTTTGGTGTGTGATAAGTCCACCGTAAGGAGAGTTTACGTTCCTGTGTCATGAAACATGGCAAGCTGGAAAATAACACTAGCTTGTGTGACCAGTAAACGATGAACATAGCTCCAATTGCACTATGGTTCAATTGTAATCCCTTCCCCGTATTACTAAACCCCCCCGAATTTTAAATTAGGGTCCATCTCCAATTTTGGAAAATTTCAGGTTGGCCGATTTGACTCTTAATTGATCCCTTTTAGAAAACAATTTAAAAATAAAGCTACTATTTGTGGGTTTCACCCCCTAATAATAAAAACTAGTCAACCCGGGGTGTTTTTTATTAGGGTCCGTCCGAAAAAAAAAATATTTTTCATATTAGGGCTTATTAGGGTTTTTAATTTGATATTAGGGGGAAGCTTCGAAATCCAACTTTTGGCAATGTTTTAATTGCGTTAGAAAGGGATATTTAATTGATTTTGAAATCGAAAAAACTAGTTGTTTTTATTAAGGGTTTAAAATTATTACGGTCCGCTTCGAAATCCAATTTTTGGCAATATTTTAATTGCGTTATAAAAGGAAATCGAATTGATTTTGAAATCGAAAAAAGAAAGTTTTTTTTATCAAGGGTTTTAATTTATTACTAGGGTCCGCTTTGGTTCCCTAATAATAAATATCCCCCTAATACTAAAAACTACCTGAGGTGTTTATTATTTGGGGGGGGCTCGTCTAGTATTAGGGGGAGAGGATTACTTATAAATAAAGAAAGGGAGAGAGAGAGAGAGAGAGGGGAGTGTGTGCGTCTGTATTATATGTACCCTCTGGTGAACTAACATAGCAATGGAAAATCACAATTCTTAATGGGAAAATCCACTATAAATAGCCATTTTCCATTGCTATGTTAGTTCACCAGAGGGTATATATGCTAGATAAGATGCATGTGCTATAGGAAACGGGTGTGGCTCAGGTTACGGGCATGAATCGCTGCGCGGTGATCCGGACATATGAAACGAAGAAATCGGGGGTATGGATCAGGGGTGTGGATCGCCTGTGCGTCCGGGGTATGGATGAGGATCTTCCATTTAGAGCTGCAGCCATATGTATATATATATATATATATGGATATATACATATATATATATGGATATATATATATATATGGATATATACATATATATATCCATATATATATATAATCCCTTCCTCCTAATACTAAACGTCCCCCTAATACTAAAAACAGGCATCCATCTCCAATTTCCGAAAATTTCAGTTTGGCCAATTTGACTTTTAATTGATCCCCTTTAAAAAACAATTTAAAAATCAACCTACCATTTGTGGGTTCTCCCCCCTAATACTAAAAACTAGTTCACCCCGGGGTGTTTAGTATTAGGGGGGCCTAGTCCCAATCCCTCACTCCAAGCTGCCTAGCTACTCTAGCAATTAGGGGTAAGCTTCTAACTGCCATTTTTGGCAATATTTTAATTGCGTTATATAAGGAAATTTAATTGATTTTGAGATCGTAAAAAATAGTTTTTAGTATTAAGGGTTTTAATTTAGTATTAGGGGTAAGCTTCGAACTGCCATTTTTGGCAATATTTTAATTGCGTTATATAAAGAAATTTAATTGATTTTGAGATCGTAAAAAATAGTTTTTAGTATTAAGGGTTTTAATTTAGTATTAGGGGTAAGCTTCGAACTGCCATTTTTGGCAATATTTTAATTGCGTTATATAAAGAAATTTAATTGATTTTGAGATCGGAAAAAATAGTTTTTAGTATTAAGGGTTTTAATTTAGTATTAGGGGTAAGCTTCGAACTGCCATTTTTGGCAATATTTTAATTGCGTTATATAAGGAAATTTAATTGATTTTGAGATCGGAAAAAATAGTTTTTAGTATTAAGGGTTTTAATTTAGTATTAGGGGTAAGCTTCGAACTGCCATTTTTGGCAATATTTTAATTGCGTTATATAAGGAAATTTAATTAATTAATTAACATGACTTCGATTTGGTTCCCTAATAATAAATACCCCCCTAATACTAAAAACTACCTGCCGTGTTTTGTATTAGGGGGGGGGTTTAGTATTAGGAGGAAGGGATTATATCCATATATATATATCCATATATCCATATATATATATATATATATATGGAGGTAGATATGTATATATATATATCATTATATAAATGTATACTGTACGATACATATTATGTACTCTATATATCTTACTTTGAGACCCCCGCCAGTCATCCCGCCTGTCTGCGGCTACACCACCACGGCATCCTGGCCATCACCTGGAAGCGTCGCTAAATGGCAACTGGTTGGTGGTAAACATGACCGATGCCCCATAGAGAGAAACTACCCTCTGGTACCCTTAGGTAAACCATAGGAAAACCATAGGAAAACCACAGGAAAATGGTGATTTAATGGATTTTAATGGTGATTTGAATGGTGATTTAATGGTGATTTCATGGGATGTAATGGGAATTTACCCTCTGGTTATTTGTTACATAGCCATGGGATAGATGGCCCATAGAAATAGATGGTTTACCTATTAAACATGGTGATTTTCCATGGCTATGTTAAATAACCAGATGGTAATATGTATGTTAACTAATATCAATGGGAATTTCAGGATCCTAAAATGGAGGTACCTACCATTTTTTTCAGGCCTATTTTTTAGGGCCTATGTAAGTGAATATCACCACAAAATATGGCCTTATATGGTACTAACGTACCTCCATTTTAGGATCCTGAAATGACCATTGATAATATGTATGTTATGTGTATATATACTATTATATACCTGGTTGGTGGTTGACCTACCCCTTTGAAAAATATGACTTCGGCAGTTGGGATGATGAAATTCCCAACTGATTGGAAAAATAATCCAAATGCTCCAAACCACCAATCAGAATGTCATAGCCATACTGCGTTTCAATTGGAAACAGTTGTATACCAGTGAAAGATCATTGATCAGCTATTTAATGATTGATACGTGATACTTGTGTGTCAGCTATCGAATCATTGATAGTAGTAATAATGATAGTTACTTATCAGATGTTGAATCATTGACAGCTGATAAATCATGATACCAATGATTCAATCAGTGATGACTACCAGTGGTGAATTGTGACAACTAACTCATAAATGATAGTCACTGGAAAATAACTGATGATTACCCAAAAAATCAACCAGAGGACTGATAACTACCAGTCAAATGAAAACAAACCGCTTATGGGTATCGGTATTAGTATGTATTTGTTGAATTCAATGTAGTTCACTCATAAATTCCACCTACATCTGCGCAAATGTCGAGAAGTTATCGTTGCCATTCGTCCCTGCCATTCGTCGTCCGTGTCGTCGCCATTCGTTGGTTGTCCCAAACTCCAAATCCCAACGGAATGGCCGAATCAATCTATCAATGTGTTGCCCCCGCGATGGCTAAGTGGCTAAGTTGGTTTAGTTTCACCCCATGAATACTAGAGTTACTTAAGTTGTACTTAAGCATCATAAAGCTGTGAATTTGGAGTTACCATCTGGTTATGACTAACATAGCCATGGAAAATCATCATTTTATAGCTAGGTAAACCATCTATTTCTATGGGCCATCTATTCCATGGCTATGTAAAAAATAACCAGAGGGTATGTTCACCAACTATCACTAAAATCAGCTGTTTTTCTCCCATGGTCCATATTTTTTGCCAAAGTGAAGTCCACCATGATTTCATGGAACATCAAAAACAAACGATACCGGGATAGCCCCATTTTAGGAAACCTCCGTATCCAGGTAGAATGATCTTCCATTTTTTTTCTTTGGTCAGGCTATCAAAAAGTAACCCTATTGAAGTACAATATGTGAAGAATGTATAGTAATATGCTTTTCCTACCATACCAAGTCCCTTGTTTCCCTTGTTTGTGAGTTGAATCACCAAGTGACACTTGGGAGGGCATCGGTCTTCCACTGGGGCAGGGGGAGGACCCTCCTGGCAGAAAAGTCGGACCGTCACTGCCGTCACTGTGCCGCCACGGAAAGGCAGGTGGAAAGACTCAGATGGTTGGCATTGGTTTATGGTACAGGATGGGGCCCAGTTATAAGTTGGTTTATAAACCATGAAATAATCCCCATTATGTCTACCATAAACCATAGAATTCAGCCACTTATAAACCAACTGAACGCAGCAACTAACGGGGGCCCCATCCTGTAGGTTTAGCAACAAAAATGGAGACTTTAGGAGCGGATCATGGATTGATTTGGGATTCTGACAGCTTACCACCTGGTTATTTGTTACATAGCCATGGACAATGGCCCATAGAAATAGATGGTTTACCTATTACGAATGGTGATTTTCCATGGCTATGTTAGTCATAACCAGAGGGTAATAGCCATTAAATCCCATTAAATCACATTAAACCACCATTTTCCTATGGCTATGTAACAAATAACCAGAAGGTAATAGTGATACGATCAAATGTGGTAAACCGCCGGTTTGCCACCATCCCATGAACCAACCATGACTGGGGGGTGACATTTTAAACATTTTACATCGGGCTATACCGGTAATAATGAACCCCAATATGACCGGTGGTGCCCCAGTGAGCTAAATCGCTAAGTTGGTGCAAATAAGTCCAATTTCACGTTTGGGTTGATTGACATGGGGGTTATATCTATAATAAAAAAGGGGATTATAAACCAACGTTCACATCACTATGGGGGCACCACCTTGTAGGGGTTGGTTTATTCTTGGCTGTATCACATCTATGATGGACATGACTTTCCAAATCACTGGGTGAAGTGCTGCGAGCTGCCTGGGGTGAGTATGGCGCCTATCAGAGCCCCTGTACCCAAAATGCCCGCAAAGAACACAGATCTTCACAAAATATCACATACCCTCTGGTGAACTAACAGTTTGCAATGGAAAATCCACTATTTTTAATCGGAAAATCCACTATTTCTATGGCAATTTTCAATTGCAAACTGTTAGTTTACCAGAGGGTGTATAATGTGGTAAAGTCGGAGAAACCAGCAAGAATTAGGTATGCCATCTGCTGCAAACCCCCCAATGGGCAAAACTTCTCCAGAAGTCAAAAAAACTTCAACAAACGAAACAACACATTTATTTCAACATACTTCACAGGTTATATGTTCAACATACTTCAACAATCTTCAACACATACCCTCTGGTAAACTAACATAACTATGGAAAATCACCATGCTATTAATAGGTAAATCAACTATAAATGGGCCATGTTCAATAGCGATGTTAGTTTACCAGAAGCTAAATCCCATTACATCCCATTAAATTACCATTTAGTTCGTTGATTTACCCATTTTTCAAATGATGGTTTTCCAGTTCGCAAACTGTGAATGTTTACCAGAGGGTAATATCCCATATCATCCCATTATTCACCATTGTTAACCATTAAATCACCATTTTCCTATGGTTTTCCTATGGTGTTCCTTCCTGGTTTTCCTGTGGAAAGTCATGCGATTTGAGCCACCCACGGTAACGACGCCACGACTTTTTCCACGTGCCACGACGGCGACGCCGCGACGCCTTGTACCCGGACTTCTCCAACCACTGCTCCGAATAGCCCATGGCTTTCCAGTGCTCAGCATAGCGACTGTTCCCGCCTACAGGTGACCGGAAGATGACGAGAAATGACAGAAACCCAAGACGGCTCCATGTATATCTATATATATAACTATTATATAACAATCAGTCATCATAATGTATATGTATATATATACATATTACATATATTAATTTATATATCATATATGTAATATATATATATTATACACACATATCAAAGAGTTCTTACACTTCATGTCGAACGGTTTCAACGTGGAACAACAAGGGGTTCCCGGTGAAAAGGGGAAACCACCGGATCGGAAATCGCCCGAAGCAGGTGGTTTTTCAAAAGCCCAAAGGACTGGAGCAAGTTGGGTCAAGTTGGAGCATTCCAAAAATCTGACATCAATGGATTGGTTAACATTGCCAATCTTAGATACCCTGCAAAAAAAATAAATTCTTTGCTGGTGAACGTAGATATTCCCATTAATACCAAAAGACTAAAGGATTAAAGTACCCATGTAAGATTGACCTAGTTAGATGGGAAAATCTACAGGAAACCAATCCATTGATGATAGCAAGTTTAAAGTTGAAAGAAGATCAAGAAATAAGAATCGTGAGGTCCTTCAATCCATCACCAGTCAATTGGGATCATCACAGGCTTTTGGATATAATGTATATTTGTGTGTCAAGAAACAACCACTATAACCGGTGTTACCGAACTAGCTGCGATAGCATCTCAACATGACGGTCACTCATCGCCCAGGGGCTGTATAAGAACAGCAACTCGGAGCTCAGACTTCGCCATTTTGACAAAGCCTCGCAGCTGAAAGCGCGGCCGCGAAAGTTCTGGATGTGACCGATGGAACTCTGTGCAAATGGTGAGCTCCGAATCAGCATCAATTACAGTAGTTACTTATAGTTTCTTAGTGACTTCACAAAAAAAAACACCATTTTAATCATATTTTTTAATCATATCTCCAAAAAAGACAACTATCATTAAGAGTCCTTGAGGGTACAGGATGGCCCCCCCCAGTTATAAGTTGGTTTATAAACCATTATAATCCCCATTGACTATAGTTATATCTACCATAAACCATTGTTAAGCCACTTACAAACCAACTTAGCTATCTTGAGGTCCCCATCCTGTACCCAGAGTTTGCGAGTTGCATTCCATAAACATTGAGATGTTTATGTATTCCCCTTGATCAAACAAATGGGTCCTTGTAATCCCATTTATGTGCTGGCGACCATCACATGTGTTGGCTCATGTTGGTAGCACAATGATTCTTCCCTTTGGGATTCCCCAAGAAAAACATATGTGCCACCGTCAAATCATGATATATGGGCTATGGTCATCCATCCTATATTGGGAATCATTGCAATGGGTATATTAAACCCTATTGATGGGTGTAATTATGACCATCCCCTTCTATGAGAAAACTGACCACGGCACATATATGCACATATCATATTTAGATATACGGGGGGTTCCTAAGTCATGGGGGTACCCCCCAAATAGATGGTTTATTTCCTTGAAAATCCCAAGAAAAAATAAGGATGATTTTGGGGGGACCCCCATTTCAGGAAACCTCCATATATTATTCTAGTATTGACCATTATAGCATATTCTAGCTAGTAAGTGTTACCCTTTTTGTTATTTAACATAACCATGGAAAATCACCAGTTTTAATAGCTAAACCTCTATTTCTACGGGCCATCTATACCATGGCTATGTAACAGTCATAACCAGAGGGTAAATCCGCATCCACACATTCGAAACTATGGAAACGCTAGAAACGCTCGAAAACTATACGATTTACCCTCTGGTAAACTAACATAGCTATGGAAAATCACCATGCTATTCATGGGAAAACTCACTATTTCTATGGCCATGTTCAATAGCTTTTTGTATGTTTACCAGGCCGGGTAAATCCCATTACATCCCATTAAATCACCATTAAATCACCATCTTCCATAGCTTTTGTATGTTTACCATATTATTTACTCCATATCTTGACTATAGAAACCAACTTAAAACTCGACCTCAGATTCCAACACCTCCCAGCACTGGGCCTCAGCGGCGTGCCCCAGGAAGGCTTCGTTGATCTCTTCTTGGCCTCGGTTCCCGGTCAGAAATCACCGCTGGATGCGAAATCAATGCTCTCTGGTGTTTCTATTGGAAAATCCCCAAAAAAAATGACGAAATGGCTATGGGTCAAAACCCTATCCCCCCTGGTGAACCCCAAGTCATAGCTGGGATTTATGGATGTTCATCCCATTAAAATGTATCTATAGGTATTGATCCATAGCCAAATAGTGATTAGTGGCTTGATGACTGATGATAGAAGAATATATATCTCAGATTCTTCTATAAATTTCTATTTCTATGAGTGGCTTATCAATCAATCACCACTATAATTGGGATTGATGAGTGGCTTCTCCGATAAATCTGGAGGTTTTCATGGCGGAAAATACCCCATGGATGATTTGGCTTGTCAATGGAAAATGACTTCTGAATCAGAATTAAAGTGTTGTTAACCCCTTGATTGGTGGTCAATAGCCATGAACTCAATGCTGTTCTTATGCCAAGATGGTGCCTTCAGTCAAAGTTGATTTATAATTCTATCAAAACACATATACATCATGATACATCTATCATAACTATCTCAAACCCAACTCTCACGACTCATTATTCCAACTTCGCTAAGTACTTGGGGTTGCAGTAGGGGTTCTTAACGCTATAAGTATGGGATACTAATCTCGATAAGTTGGGATATAATTCACCCCTACAACTATTGTGAAATATAACTACCCGCAAAAATTATGGTTCATCATCAATGAAACTATAGGTTTTTAATGAACCATAATTATAGGTTATCATCATAATATAACTATCTATAGGTTTTTTAATAGTTTACAATTTATCTATCATATCATACACCGAGCTAGGCTACTCATTTTCCCAACTTCCCGAAGTAGAACGCGCTAAGCGTCTGCTCTTGGAGGCACGCATCTTCTCCAGCAATTCGTCGCCCTTCCTGATGGGGCGTGAGCCCGGCGGTGGGAAACTCAAAGTGTGAAGCTTGGGGATGGCGTGTTTTATTGCATCTGCTACATTACCTTCAACTATATATATATATGTATATATGTATAAATATATATATATATGAGTGTGAAATAAATTTCCAAGCATTTCCTAGAGTCCTAGGTGATTTCGCACCGTTTTGGCTGCTCAAGTCCCCCGTTTTGCTGGTGAGCAGATGCCAACCCCTGGAATGCACATCTGCCAAACCCTGGGGTGTCACCTTCTGCTCAAATAAAAACCGCTGGTATATCCCATGACGGATCCATGTATGCTATATATATATATATGGTAACATTTACCATTACTGTAATATACCCCCAATCTTAGCATATATACCATACATGGATCCTATGGGTATGATTATGCCAGCAGACCGAACACCGTGTTCGTAAAATGAACGTTTTCTTCGGCAATGGGTAGGGGTGGGCTATGAAAACGTCTTTGGTCCTAAGTACTTTCCAGCTACGTTACTCACTTTTCTAACATCTTCCATGGGGTGCGGTGGGGTGGGGTGGGCTATTAACGTCCTTGGTCCTCATTAACAAGTTTCCAACTACGTTACTCATTTTTCCAACATCTTCCAACTGCGTTAGTAACTTTTCTAACAACTTCCAACTACGTTCTTGTAACAACTTCCAACTAAGTGCTTGATGTTAGGTTTCCAACTTCTGTAACAACTGCCAACTACGTTCTTGATGTTATGTCACTAACTTTTGTTGCAACTTCCAACTATTTTAGTAACCTTTCTTGAGAAAAAAAAAACTTCCAAGTACGTTTATCTACATTAGTAATTGTTCTAACAACTACCAACTACGTTCTTGACTTTATGTTATATACTAGCTTTTCTGACATCTTGCTACTACGTTGGTCAACTTGTCTAACAAAGACTATTGATGCCGCATAGTGTGCATTAAAGCAATACATTCCAACAGTTTGTCCTCTCACAGCTGCGATTTGTTGCTGCAGTGGACGTACATCAACCTCCATGCCAATTTGCAGAAGAATTCCATTCAAGCCCTGAAGCGCATCCTCGAAAAAGATGCTTTTGCACAGCTGCTGCAGCCGATGAAAATCTCCTTGTTATGTACTGTGAAACGGGAAAACGTCCCAATTTTGCCGGAAGAATTTGCCCTCAAGATGATATTCGAAATTGACGTTTCGCCACTGTGAGAAGCTTTAAAAAAAAAAAAAAACCTTTTACGAGCACGGTTTTCTGCTCTGGCGGGTTGTTATGGTATTATCAGAGGTTTTGGATGATTTGAAAGCATCTTCGAGACCATTGGGATGAATATATATAATTATATGTATATTATATATATATTATATATATTATATATATATAGCTTCCGCCCCTTCAACCGGAAGCCGGAAGCACAGTGTGTCTGATGGATGATGATCATCCCCTAAGACACAAGATGGTGTCCCAGTGAGCAAAATCACAAAAATGTTGCTTGAACTATAGGTATGTGAAAACACGACTGTTAAATAACTGGTAGATATGTTAAAATTCATTACCCTCTGGTAAACTAACATAGCTATTGAAAATGGTCAGTTATAGTGGATTTTCCCATGAAAAATGGTGATTTTCTATAGTTTTTTGTATGTTTACCAGAGGGTAATGGTCTTTTAACCACGAAACATCACTGGCACCTCTGTAGATTTATCCAGATGGATACTAAGAAAAACCCCAACCAGTATAATAATCGCCATCAATCTTCGTTGTTGTTAGCTAAATCATGTTAAATCCACATTCATTTCTAGCAATTTGCAGGGAATATCTCACTGCCCAAGGAACAAAATCATGGGTCATTAAATGTCCCCATTGAACATCACCCAACCATTAGGTATATGGTCTATAATGGCTACTATAAGGTGATGTCCAATATACCCAAAATGGGACAGTTACCAACCCCTGAAAATTCATACGAAAACTGTGGATGGTCAAATCATGGGTAGTTCATCTCCTCCGAGGACCATCATCCCATTTCTGGTCGGTTGCGGCGCCCCATCTCTGTAGCGTAGCTTTGGAGGAGAAAAAAATCCCTCATTGAAAGCATCGTTACCAAGCCTCATTGATCAGTGTTATCAATTATATATCCATTAAACCATAGTCACATATATATATATATATGTATACATACGTATATATATATATATAATTATATATATGTGTATACATACGTATATATATATATAATTATATATATATGTTTATACATACGTATATATATACATATAATTATATATATATATGTATACATACGTATATATATATATATCATCACCATTTGTTTGTTGAAAGGACATGTTACAAATAGTGATGATTAAATCAGGGTTTTATCAATGTACAGTCATGTTTATAAGATGTAATACCAACCATCAAAACATTGGGATTTCAGATATAAAATAATAACCATTTGCCAATTGCATCCATTCTAATGGTTTTACCACTGATCATTCTCCATCATTCTGGTCATAAAGTCCATTCTGCTTACCAATCTGATGTTATAAAGGTTTTTTCCTGATTAGATCCCCATTGTTTGAAAATTATAGTCACATACCATACATCATCACCGTTATACTTTACAACATGTTATACCTCCATTACATCAATTACATGAACATAACATCCATTGTATCCAGATGCATTCAACTTATCCATTGTATCCATATCCATTACATCTATATCCATTCCACTTTTTCATGGTTACCCTCTGGTAAACTAACATAGCTATGGAAAATCACCTTTTTTAATGGGTAAATCAACTAGAAATGGCCATTTCCAATAGCTATGTCAGTTTACCAGAGGGTAGATTCCCCGCCAAAAAAGAAAAAAAACGCCGAGCATCTTCTCCAGCGCCAGTTGTTGCGCCTGGACGGTTTGGTGCATGGCTTTAAAGTTCACCTGACACACCTGCGCTTTGACTGGAGGCCTTAAAAAGGGGACAGAAAGCGGCAGAAAATCGGTGAAAAAAAGGCATGTTTTGGGCGAAAAAAAACGGACATCCCATTTTTTGGGGTTTCAACATGTCTCAACTATCCTTTTGGTGCAGGATTTCGCTGGCCCCTCCACAGAATCACCACGTTGTTCGGGGGAAAAGATGAGCTTTTTTGGTGCTGGGACATCCCCATGGCTGAAATTCATGGGAGGAAAGGGGAGAAACACGTGTGTTCTAGGTCCAGTCTAGGCAGCATTCATGTACTGCTTGGTGGTGCAATTTCACCATCTTGAAAAATCATGGAGTTCGTCAATGGGTTTCGGATGACATCCCATTTATGAAATGGGAAATAATCCATTCATGTCTGAAACCACCAACCAGATGTAGAAGTTCTTTGAAAATTGGAAAGGTAAAAACCAAAAAAAAACACAATCCATTTGGGCCTGAAGGGGGACCAATCGGTTGAAGTTACGTTGCTTTTTTACAAGCTCAGGCCATCCTCCATATCTAGGTTTCTCACGGACCATCACATAACTACGGTTTCTAACTCCAATGACTATGGCTTATGATACATAAATATATATATATATGGTTCATTGGGGTTATCACCCAACAAACACAACAGGGGAACCAATTCACCAAGAGTTTTGACCATCGCATGCTGACCATGTTCAGGGAGGCTGCCGGTCGATTTCTCTGTGCCAAGAAGCGTTCATGATGTGGCGGGTGTTCCAATTCATTGAATATGATTCCTGAGCAGGAGGGACCAAAATCAACAAAATCAACATTTGGGGAACATGTACCCAGACGTGTTTTTTTCTGAAAATAGGGACACCAAAAGTCCTATTGTCCACTAAAATTGCACCTTTGGTGTGGGTCTTCCCCCATTTTCCCGCTCCGAATCTGGGCTTCCCAGTTCGATGGCCACAACTGGAACGGTCCCATTTTCAGACAGTGTTGGGACCCTTTGCAAGTCCCTTCTGCTGGGACCTCAAATTTCGAACTACCAAACCATACCAAAACCATATTTGGCCCAACTAACTCATGGTGAAGTATTGGAAGCCCTGTAGATTCCTCGGAGCCTGCTATCTGAATTTCCTCCTTTTTTTTTGCTGCTGAAATCCCGTTGCTAAACATTGGTCAAATAACTTCGAGTTGAGCAGCTTGTATCCTGCTTGAGGATCAACATTCACATCTTTTCCTTGTGCAATCGCTCAGGTCTTCAAATTTCTCGGCATTTTTTCGGAAGTAGCTTGAGCCGCCCCGTCCGAGTTTCAAATTTCTCGGCGTTTGCGAAAGTCAAAGATGGCACGCTGGTAGACATTCCCGACGGCAATGGAACAAAGACCTGGCGGAGAAAAAAAATACCACTTGGCCCAAGGTAAGGCCCAAAAATACGGATTTTCTCCGGCAAAAATTGGGATTTCACCTATTTAAATTGCGTTTTACAATCAATGGATCTTAACTAAGCTGGTGTATGACTCCAATAAGTAGCATTTATGGTATAGCTATCATTAGTGGCATTTACAAACCAACTTACAACTGGGGTGGGCCAATCACCCCGCTTAGGAATGATTGTTTTTTCAGCAGCTCCGAAGCGAATCTGCATACTATCTGGATAGTCTCTGGTAATGAAACATAATTTGCTGGAAAATCCACCATTTATTGATGACTTTCTCAGATATAAACCTCCATTCGTAAGGGATTGTCCATTGCCATGTGTCATTACCAGAGGGTAAACAAAAAGAGAACACCAAAACATCAGACTTCGGGTCTTTTTGGGATTAGTCTTCCCACGCGGGCCACTTCTAAGTAAGATATTTGGATGCGCGTTTGACCGTTTGACCCAAAGTGTAGGAAGTTTTGGGAATAATTCATATGAAAAGATATGTAATCTAGCTGGGTATATTTTCTGTCTGCAGATGTATATATATATATAACAATCATCCTGAAATAGATGATAGAACGCCACAATTTGAACAGCATTCTTGGAATATCTATGAAATATCCAAGTTTTACTCCTCCGATTCCTAGGATGCATCAGGTCTAGTGTTCTACAATACACCTTGTGTATAAGGTAATTTAAGCCTCATGTTGCGCAATGGCTATGTGGATGAATTCTTGTTGAGGTACCTAACCCATTGAAGAGATTTGCACCAGCCATCTGCAACATGAATGATCTTGATCTTGTTATAGGCAGATTCTACCATCGTGTTACCCCTATCAATAGCGAATCACCTGGTCTCAAATGGAGGTTTCCTAAAATGGGGCTACCCCCAAATCATACATTTAAAATTAAAAAGATTTGGCATTATAAACCATCCAGCTATTGGGGTTCCCCCATTTTTCTGGAAACCACCTGGGGTGGGCAGGAAAAACATGGCTACGAGGTGCCCCTGAAACAAAGGGCCTTGTATCACTGGCTCCATCTGATTCGGGATCTCCATGTTTGTTAGATCATAAGTGATTGTAAACATGTCGATTCCTTTTAATCATATGTGTATCCTCATGATTGTTCTAGACTAGACATACACATATCACGGATATATATATATATATACGTCAACCAGTCTGCGTATATATAAATTATAACTATCATAAATCATCCATCTGTTTTGGGAGTCTTGTCCTACACATCTGGTTGGTTCTTAGTGAGAAATATCGGTCCGTCTACAAGTATATAATTTGTGGCTCATTTTTTTAGTTCATACAACAGTAGCTTGTAATAGCTTAAATTAGATGACAATAGTTTAGTTTAGATCTTTTAAAATGGGTGAATGGTTCTACTGAAAATAACACTAAAACAAACCTGTTCTAGAACTTTGGGGGGCATATTTGTATGGAGCTGTCACAAAGTATCGAAATAGAAAACATGAAAAAAAGACTCCTGTGTTTATGAACCGTGATTTGAAAAAACATCATCCAAGCTGATGTGTTTCCTGTCCAACCTGGTTAACCATGGGCCCATTCACCCAAAAAAAATCAACGGCCACGGCCGCACGGCCCGGTGCGGCACCGCGTAGTGCGCCGGACCCCCACCGTACCAGGCAACGCTCGCCAGGCCTGGTGAGGGCGATCTATCGCCCCTGGTAAACTAACAGTTTGCTATGGAAAATGGCCATTTATGGCCATTTATACTGAGTTTTCCCATTAAAAATGGTGATTTATACTGAGTTTTCCCATGAAAAATGGTGATTTCCCAGTTCGCTATGTTAAATTACCAGAGGGTAACTCCAATTTCACCATTGGAAAATGGTCAAACTAAGCACGAGGAATGCACACTCTCGGGCAGAAAGACTGTCTTGCACCCACAACGATGCCTGTTTTGAGCCATCCTTCTCTGCATGATACTTGACCGTTCGTCTTTGTTGAACGTGTGTTTTTGGAGGGTGTAGATCATGTTTGGTTTAAATAGTAGATTTTGTTTTGGGTATGGTCGAACATGGGGTTTGGCGCCAAAATGCTTGAAAACAATATATATATATGGTTTAACAGGTAGATTTCTTTACTGCAAGAAAACCCCAAAATCAATTCTATCCGCGAGTTCCCCCCGCCAACGTGCTTTGGGCTATTCTTGACTATTTTAACTCAGCCCAAGAATCTATTGAAAATATTCTACGTGCTGGTTACTCAATATTATACTGGTTGGTGGTTTCAACCCCTCTGAAAAATATTGGTCAGTTGGGCTGATTATTCCCAATATATGGAGAAATAAAAAATGTTCCAAACCACCAATCAGCTATAGTTAATGGGGTCTTATAGACCAACTTTTAATAGTTGATACTTCTATTGATCCTTCGTGTGGAGGATAACTGCAAAAGTGGAGGGTACCTCCGATAGCTATGGTTTATGATACTCAGAACTATACTATTCATGGGAGATATAAAACAACAAACATAACTGCGAGTGGCTTCCAGCAATCAACCATGGCAATTGAAAATCCCATGTGAATGGCGGGTTTAATGGAACCATTATGATGGGGGTTGAAATTCCAGGGGGTGGGCTGGCCACCGCTTTTTGTAGCTACAAAGCCTTGCTCCAACCCCCCCTACTACATAAATGGGTGCTTGACCTCAAAAACAACCAAAAAAAACCCTACCAAAAGGAAGCACCCAACCCTTCTAAAGCCCCTACTGAAAGACAATGTGATTTTAGATGTCTATATAGATCTCTAAATGGCTCATTTTGTTGATGTTTCTTAGAACGGGTTTCCTTTTTGTAGGGAGCCCATTTTTCATTGATTTTGAGTCTGAACTTGAAAAAAAAACAAAAGGTAGTGAACCACCGGTCTCCCCCGGGGAATGGCCCTGAGTTTCAATGCGGACTTTTTTCATCGCCCTGAGTTCGATCTATGCCCATGTGTTTCGATCTATGCCCATGTGTTTCAAAACGCATCATCATATGGCTGTCCACAATTAGGGCAATCCGCAGGAAGCCCCGGAGGGGGAGGCATTTTGTAGCCCAACTGTGAAAATCCCTAAGCCAAAAAAAAAGGCTACTGTAGGAACGGGCATGAATGCCTACCAAATGCAAAAACAGTTTACATCATTACAAAATGCGAGCCCAAGTCCAAAAGGATCATTTTGACCCTTTTTCAATTGAACAACATGTCTCCTACTAAATGGGGGCTCTTGAGGTCACTGTTTTGCATGACAAAAAAAACATGTTCCCTACAAAAGTACTCTTGGTTTTTATAAGATTCAAAAGTTCTACAAAAACACAGCCCACCTACAAAAGTATGTGCTCAAGCTCGGTTTGGGAAAGCATTTTTCTTATTGAAATTGAGCTCGCCGGGGCCCTCAAGCACAGCCTTTTGGTAGTGGAAATTTTGACCCCCATCCATTATGTATAAATGATGGATTTTCAATTGCCATGTTTGATTACCAGAGGGTTTATACGGTGTTTATCCAACCATTTTATGATGATTTACTGGAATTAGAATTGGGTATAATTTGATGTTTATCCAACAATTTTACGGTGATTTAGTGGAAATTCATGGGATTAGAGTGGGGTGTGATGGGCTTGGTTTGCTAATGTGGTTGGTTCTCTGCGAGCCTGCTAAGTTTGTTTAACTTCTGCTTCTCCAAATAAATGACCATGGCCGGGAAAGGCCATGGAACTGGGGGCAATCCCTTGCAACTTGGAATCCTCAGTTTACAGCGAAAAGGAGCAACGCAAAAAGCTCTGGTGATTTCACATAACGTAACGAACTGGAAAATCACCATGTTCAATGGGTAAATCCACTATAAATCACCATTTTAAATAGCAAACTGTTAGTCATTCCCAGAGGGTAACAAAATGGGCCAAGGGTCCAGTTCGCAAACTGTGAAAGATAAGCTTATCCCATTAAAGTCCCATTGAATCCGACTAAAGCTGGTTGTGGTTAATGCATCCATTGGTGTGCTAAACCTCCCATAAAGTCTTGCACAACTGCAAATTGTCATGTAGAGTAGCCGAGAAAAAAAATCGTCAACATCAAACAGCTGCAAAGAAAAACAATTCATCCCCTTATCCACCACACCTCCAACACTTTGCCCAAGAACTCAAGAATTGGGGAATACCCTCTGGTAAACTAACATAATTATGGAAAATCACCATCTTTAATGGGAAAATCAACTATAAATGGCCATTTTCAATAGCTATGTTAGTTTACCAGAGGGTAAGCATTACATCCAAGCTTAGGCCCATGTCGGCCGGGGCCATCAGATCGCTATGGAAACAACCGAACCATTTTGTTACACCCGTGGGAGAAACTGCCGTGGAAGGAGAAAGTTATGACCTTTTTCCGTTGAAAACCAACTTTGTCAAACTTATTTCTTGGGATTCATGTGAGCCATGAAAACTGCCCCCTATTTCATCAATTTCATCCCACTGGTTGCAAAATTGTGATCTATCATGATCCCCAATACACCAGGGAGTATAACCCAACCAACCATCAGGTATATTCATTTATCAACTATATGCAACCACAATATATCACAGAAATCATACTTCAAAAGCCCTAATTAAGACCTCCAGAGTATGCGGCCCCCAGTTACAAATTGGTTTCTAATCCCCATTAACTTATACTTCCTCATAGTTCTTGGAGTTTTGTCTACCAACTTAGCAATCATAAATCAGCTATAAATCCCTTAAATCCCCATTTTCCTATGGTTTTCCTATGGTTTTCCTATGGTTTTCCTATGGTTTTCCTATGGTTTTCCTATGGTTTTCCTATATCTTTGTTAGTTAAATCACCATGGGAAATCCCCAAAAAAAACCGCGCGCCTGCAGGTTTTCCTTCAGCAACATGGTGAAGCTGCTGGACCTGATCCGTTTCAGATTTCGCCAGCCATGGGACATTGGAGATTTCCTGAGTCATAGGGGTACCCATCAGGGGTTGGTAACTGTCCCATTTTGGGAAGATTGGACATCACCTGAAAAAGTAGCCATTATAGATTATATACCTAATGGTTGGGTGATGTTCAATGGGGACATTTAATGACCCATGCCCATGGGTACCCCTAGTCCTCATCCATTTATAGATGGATGTTCCATGATTTATTAACCATCTAGCGATTAGTCATGGGTACCCCCATGACGATGGAAACCTCCATGGATGGTCTGGGTAAACTATACCAACCTGAAACTTGTGGCCATTTGGGGCTGATTCCCCTTACTAACTATGATTCCAGTGAGGTCACACTGTGGTCGTTATAATCAAGTTGCTCTGAAAAATGGTGGTTTAACATGCTTTAACCATGCAAAACAACGATTCAACCACTGAACAATGGTATAATCAATGGTTGGTTTCCCAAGTCATAGGGGTAGCCGAACTCATCCAAGCCATTCTATAGACCAGTTTCGTATTGAAGCCCATGATGACTCGGGGAACCCCCACTGCCCCAATTTTTGTTTGGTAATTTAAAAAAAGGGGAGGATCAACTATATATATAAGGGTAGATAAAATGGAAACCACCAACCAGATCAACTAATAGGGGTCGCAGCCACCACGAAAAGTCACGGGAAAAACCCGGGCTCCTGGCATAGACTGCGTTGGTGCGATACAGGGCAATAGATCGTTCCCAGTTGCCCTTCACCTAGCAACTGGGACCATGAAAACAGGGAGACTTCTGGAGGTACAAATCATTTGCATAGCTATCTAACATTATTTAAGGGTGAACAAAGAACGAAAATATGGTTCTAATAGCTTTCTGTAGTGGGATATTATTTGGGGGTATACCTTCTGGTAATCTGACATGGCCATGGAAAATGACGGAACACTGCAATTTTCAAGTAGGGTAAATCATCTACAAACGCGCCGTATTTTCCATGGCGATGTTGAATCAAGGTGTAAAGGGTGTATACATATGTCAATGAATTCCAAATTCCAAATTGAGGGGTTATGTGGATATTACTTTAGCAACAAAACTGACAATCAATGATGCAATTCTTCAGAAATACTGTATATTATTTGACTAATGCAATATTCATAGATGGAATTGGCCGGAAACGTGGTTTCTGTGGTTTAAAAAACATCTAGCTCACCCAACAACACAGCTAAAATCAAGTTGTCTATGGCAATCTAATCCATCTGCCAAAAATCTGGGTTTGTCAAATCAACGATCCCAGATTCGATCCCACGAAAAAATCCCATCAAACCCCATGTTTTTTTCCACCTTACATTGGAAAACAATCCGGGAAAACTATGGAAACGTCAAAAACCTCACGAAATCCACCTAAAAAAATCATCAATGCTTCCAGCTTTTCCCATAGAAGATCGAATTCCATATGTTTCCATACTGTGGATGGTTGCGAAATCTTGCACCGGGAACTATTGGTAACTTACCTCAACATTGTAAATAGTGGGATTATACGGTAAGGGGATTTTGCCTATCGACCAACTGGTGCAAGATGTCGCAACCATCTACAGTACTTCTGAAAATCATTCCATATCTTGTTCCCTTGTTTTTTTCCCCATGGTTTTTCCCACAGTTCTGGCCCGAAATACCAGTTTGTATATATCAGTTTTTGTCACCCCATTGATGGAATTTCCTAAGACAATAATATTCACTATATTATAACCATTAAAATCACCATAATATTACCCTCTGGTTATGTCAAAATAGCTATTGAAAATGGCCATAGAAATAGTGGATTTTCCCATTGAAAATGGTGATTTTCCATAGTTATGTAAACGTTTACCAGAGGGTAAGTGCCATTAAATCCCATTAAATCCCATTAAATCCCATTAAATCCGGTTTAATTCCCATTAAATCCCATTAAACCACTATTTTCCTATGGTTTTCCTATGGTTTACCAGAGGGTAGATCCTGTTTCAGATCACCATTTCTGGTGTCCAGGGCTTGACCTGCACGTTCTTTCCGGCCTGGGAGCTGGTTGCGAAGCGGTCGGGCGTGCCGAAGGGACCCGCCTGCAGGCCTTGCGTCATGTCCTGGCTGAACCATCAAAACATCAGGATAGTAGGAATATGTATACACATACATATATATATGTGTGTGTGTATCTATATATATATGTGTGTGTATCTATATATATGTGTGTGTGTATCTATATATATGTGTGTGTGTATCTATATATATATATAATGTCTGGATAGTAGATCATATTCCAACAGGTAGATATTATTCCATCAGGATAGTGGGGATATTCTGCGAAACATCTGAATAATCCCAGACTTTGGGGAATGTCTTGCACGATTTATACTACCCTCTGGTAAACTAACATTTTGCTATGGAAAATCACCGTTTTCAATGGGAAAATCAACTATTTCTATGGCCATTTTCAATAGCTATGTTAGTTTACCAGAGGGTATATGATATATAGGAATTATATATGATATCTATACAAATTGAGTGTCAATATGAAAATATATGGGATTATACTATATTGTGACATATTCATTAATATTGGTGACATTGAGAGACAGTGTCACCATCCAAAACTACCCAGAAATTTGGAGAATCATCCCACGGTGTGTGCCAGGGGGTGATGTCATATCTGTAGATAACTTATTAGCCCCATCTAACTATTGCAGTATAGCATATTATCTGGGTAAATTATAATATTTCACTAACCTGAATTAAGGTCATTTGGGGATGATTTTCCTTATTAACCATGATTCCCAGTGAGGTCGCAGTGAGGTCGTTATAATTTACCCAGATATTATATAATATGATACTGGTTGGTGGTTGACCTACCCCTCTGACAAATCATGGAGTGAACGTCAGTTGGGATCATGAAATTCCCAACTGTTTCTGGAAAGTCATAAAATTCATGTTCCAAACCACCAACCAGGATAGATTGCTCTTATAAATGGGGTTTAGATCTGTAGATACTATACCTTGGAGATACCTGGAGGATCTCCGGGGGTCCCCCGGGATTTTTGGAAATCGCTAAGTTGGTGGCTTTGGAACTCTGGGGGCCTTCACGATTGGGTTGAGCATACTGAAATAACGAACTAGTATTCATGGGGGGAAACTAAACCAACGTTCACATCACTGAGGGGGCACAGTGGATCTCCACCAGGACTGATGAAATGACATGAAATTATATGAAATGGGCCGGCTTGGAGATGCTTCCCTTTATCATTTGTCTATCTTTTTTTGATGGGACTCCTCTAAATAAACCAGTGGGCAAAGGACATCAATGATGAAATTACAAGTATATCCCCATTATGGTTTCTATATGGGGGTGGGTCAAAACCTATTATTATCAATTCTAATGGGATGAACATCCATTTACCAGCTATTTTGGGGTTCACTAGGTGCCAGGGTTTTGACCAATAGCCATATACCTTATCGATGTGGCCCAATGAATATGGCTGAGTTATTCCTCTTAACGATCGCGTAGCGTTACTGGCTGAGGAACGGATTGCCCAGTTCACGGATTGTCCCAATATCTAAAGGATGGTATCGGCATCGGCCCAATATATAAATCACCCAAGAGGGGTTTAGCAGCCACTGCTCCAATGATATGAAATGGATTGAAATTGTGATTTAGTGGGGCTTATGTGTTTTTTTAAAAATGTTTTGGAGATACCATGGGATTTCATGGGGTTGAATGGGTCAAGTTAGGATTCTGTAATGGTTTATGGTAATCCATCAATGGGAATCCAAGCATGATGGATTGATGACCATCCCCCAAGATGGGTATCCGAGCCATGTTTTGATCATGGCACATAATGGGGATTCCACCAACAATCATGGGATAGATCATGGGCAAACACTGGGTTTTTAATTTTAATATCACATGGGTATACCAAAAAGAAGCAAATGGTAGATTTATCGAACTAGTCGATGAAGGCTATGAACCACCTAATATGTCCCAATATCTTTCCCTGAGGTGAATTCAATCAGCCAGTTGGATTGCTATACTGGATATCTTCTGTCTATATGCCCCAACATGGCTTACGGAACATCCCCTGTTCGCAAGGTGCTAGGGAGCCCTGCGAACTCAGTTCCAGCATACCTCAGGCAGCGACCCTAAGAAGTCACCGTGCTTGGTCGAATCCTGAAACCCCAAGAAACCGACCAGGTCAAAAGGGCCAAAAAATGATTCCAACAAGTTTCATTCATGTGGGATCCACCCAATGCCAAAAACGAAACCAATCACCAACCATGGCTGGGGGGTCATACTGTACATCATCCCAGTCATATTTTGTTTTATCCAATAATTCATAAACCGCCATCAAGGATGGTTTATGATAGTTATCCCATACTTGTCACCGTGATGTTCCCACTATTATCCCACATTAATCCATATTATCCCATTAGTATCCACTGTTCATCCCATTATGGCATTGCCCTTCCCTCATTTTTTCAGCTGAGAGCTAGTTGCGAGGCCACACTCCCGGCGCCCGGAAGTTCCATGAAACAAAATACGGATCACCCAATGTGACTATGTCCCGATGTTTTTTCGATGTTTCAAACCACCTGTTGATCTGAGTCTCAAGTAATTCACCAACCCGATCGATGCCAAAGGACCAATCCCGGTGCCAGGCCATAACATCATGCTGCGAGACGAGTTTATCCTGAAAGAAGGTCGGTTATTTCAAATGAAACCTGGGGATGTACACGGAAACATGTTGTGCATAAATTTGGACCACCCCACCCAAAACAACAAAAGTTGTGACCCATTTTTTTTTGAGAGCGGGGGACCATGGACGTAATTTTTGAATGAAAATGAACACAAAACATTGTAAATACCGATGTTTTCTGCATCTGATGGCTCTGAAACCTAGGCGCATTTTTTTGCATTTTGTTTTGTAATGATGCTCGAAAAACATTGGCAGGCACGAAAAAACAAAAAAACAAAGCACAATCTCACAAAACATTGGTAGGCATGGGGGGTCCAGAATCGTGAGTAGATGCTGGGATTTTGTTTTTTTTTGTTTTTTTTTGGTGCCTGTGAGGGTTTGGTGCATCTAGTGGTTGTTTTTTTTTGTTTTTTTTTGGTGCCTGTCAATGTTTGGGGCGTTGATCTCTCAAAACACTGACAGGCACCAAAAACAAAGCACAATCTCACGAAACATTGTAGTATCACCCCACCCGGGAACTATTATTCTGTTCGGAAGTGTAAAGGACTGTACGGGAGTTTTTTCTGTTACTAAATTAATCTCCGGAAGCCTTTCCTGCCACCAAATTATTGTATGGGAGTTTTTGCTGAAACCTGAATCATTAAGTCTACCAGAGCCTTTTCCGCTACTAAATAATCGTCTTGGTTGATTGAGAATTTTATTCGTTTATGATTATGCTTCGCTTGTTCCCATTGTTTTCGGGGTTTTGTTGCTGTGAAATGTTGCTGGGATGCGCGCGGCTGTGGAAGATGAGAAGATGGGCAAAAGCCATTCTAAGTATATTTCCCTGTGTAGAATGTTGACGGAGGGTGGCCCTTCCCCCTTTTCACAACGGGTGGAGGGTCCATCCACACAATGGGTGGAGGGTCCATCCTTATGCAGATGTAGTCGTAGTCACAGTCGCAGTCGCAGTAGCAGTAGTAGCAGTAGCAGCAGCAGTAGCAGTAGTAGGAGCAGCAGCAGCAGCAGGAGTAGTCGTAGTAGTAGTAGTAGTAGTCGTCGTCGTCGTCGTCGTAGTTCCGGGCCCTCCTCCGAAAAAACGGGTCGCTGTTGTTGTTGTTGTTGTTGCTGCTGCTGCTGCTGCTGCTGGTGGTGGTGGTGTTGTGAGATATAGATATATATTGAAGATAGCGTTTATATCTAAATTTATTTCCGTAAATTTCTTTTAGTGTGATTAAACATGTACGCTGCAAACCCTACGTTTGACCGTGCCGGAAGTCAACTGGACGCGACATGATCACGATCGTCATCATATCATTGTTATCATGGAGACACTCATGAGCCCTTCCAGCGTGGAGCAGCGGTGCACACCGTCTATAGGCTTTCCGCTACATGTCTGCGTTTGTCAACCAGCTATGAAACCATTCCGCATATTTGGTCGAGGGAGTGGGGGATTTGATCCCTCGTGAAGATTTGTTAAACTTATGCATGTCTCACCCGGATATCAGGATTGGTTGAAAGCAGCATCTTGCACCCACCGCCAGACAGAGTCTGGCAGTCTACCGGGCTGCCTGTTTTGAGCCATCCTTCTCTGCATGACTCATGTACTTGACCGTTGGTCTTTGTTGAACGTGTGTTTTTGGAGGGTGTAGATCATGTTTGATTCAGATAGTAGAGTCGTAGAGGAGAGATCTTGTTGGTATGGTCGAACGTGGGGTTTGGCGCCAACATGTGTATATATATATATATATACATCTATATATATACAGTATATACATATATATATATATATGTATATGTATGCTTCTGTTCTTGTCTATGCCAAACAGCAAGTATGTTGCTACGACTTGTTCAAGCACATCGCCCATCTCCATCCAATGGCAGGTTGCTTGGGGGTTCTGGGGGGGGCGCTGAGCATATATACAAGGTGGTGCCCCCATAGTTATAAGTTGGTTTATAATCCCATTAACTATAGATATAACCCCCTAATCAACCCTAGTTATTGGACTTATAAACCAACTTAGCTAACTATGGGGCACCACCTTGTGTATATATATATATATGTGTATTATAATTATACATATATATATATATAGCACAGATAGATAGAAAAGTGGGAACTATGATAACTATGAGGTTTTTTCACCATTCAGGAAACGCTAAACCCGGCATCTGATTGGGGGTTGCAATAGCCATAAATAACAAATAGAGTCTGATCCCCAGGTAGTCTTGGAAACCTACTTGGGCAGTTCCACTTGATTTGCATGGGTATTTAGCGCCATAGCTAAAGGGTTAATATCTCTAATTAAGTTATAATCACGGCTGTAGCCATTGGTAAATCCAACTGCACCCCAAAATATGGAGCAAAGTTCAAAAGCCCAGGGTTTGAGATTTGGACAAGACCAAGCTAAGTCCTCTTGTACACTGAAATAAAAAACAACAAAACGCAGCGATGTTTGTTTGTTCTAGGATGGACTTAATGTGGCTGGTTGTTTCACTCCCCCTCTGAAGGCCAAAACATCTGCGGGGATTCCGGGGCTTGAGATATTCTCTGCGTGGTTTCAATGCCCCTGAAAAAGGGAGATCATCATCCAAAGGTTGAAAACACAAAGTTCAAAACCACCAACCATATCTGTTTTTGTATATATATATATATATGCATACAATTGCATACATACATATATTCTATGGTTAATTATATATTAGTTATATATATAGTATATCCGTCCTATCTTTCTCAGGATTCCTCGGGATTCGGGGGACAGCCAACCATCAGGAACCGCCCAGAGCTCGCTGCAGGTGAGGGTCAGGCTTGACCGACCAAGGATAGGCAGCCTTGTAGCGAATGTCCTGCCGTCAAACGTGGAAAATCATCGAACTAAATCATCGAACTGGTTAATGATGGTTAATATATGGTTGATATATGGTTAATATATGGTTGATAATAATCTGGTTGGTGGTGCAATAATTAACCATCTTGAAAAATCATGGAGTTCGTCAATGGGAAGGAAGGATGACATCCCACTATGGCTACTATGGAAAATAATCCATTCATGTTTGAAACCACCAACCAGAAATGGAGGATGTGAAAAAAAACCACGTTTGATTCCCGGAGGCTACGCGGAAGGCTGGTTTCAGTGCTTGGATTCACTGGGATTCGCATGGATGATGATAGATAACCCCCAATATACATGTGAACAACATGTATGATGGTAGATGATTCTATACATAAATATGTATATGTATATGTATGTGTATATGTATATCTATATGTATATGTATATGTATATGTCTATGTATATGTATATATGTATATATCTATGTATATATGTATATATCTATGTATATATGTATATATCTATGTATATATGTATATATGTATATATGTATATATGTATATATGTATATATGTATATATGTATATATGTATATTTGTATATATGTAAATATGTATATATGTATATATGTATATATGTATTTATGTATATATGTATATATGTATATATGTATTTATGTATATATGCATATATGTATGTATATATGTATATATGTATATATGTATATATGTATATATGTATATGTATATACATATACATATATTGATTATTACTATTATTATTAATAATAATAGTTATTATATATTCATACTATGGATGATGATAGATAATCCCTAATATATCTTGGGTCGTACAACTCTCGTGCCGGGGTGCCATCGGCCTCATAGTCGGCCGGCAGGGACAACGAGGGCGAGGCCATTTGAAATCCCTGCCACATGCGGCGACCCGAGTAGTACTTGTGTGCGTACCTGCTGGACGGGGTATGGAGGTACCTAACATATACTATATAAGGCCTATTTTTTAGGCCTATGTAAGTGAATATCACCACAATTCATATGGCCAAACTTATGGTACGTTTACGTACCTCCATGAATTGGATCCTGGAGATCTCCCATTGACTCTTCATTCTCAGATGTTTAGGCATAAAAAATCTCGGTAGTTCAAGAGTCAACTACGCTAGCATCGAACTTTTCCTGTCGAACATGGGATTCCATCAACCTGAAGGAGGAATACGATGTTCTTCATGGGTACCAAATGTTCGAAATCGCTAGCAACAATTATTCACTGGCAGGGAATCAATCAAAACGCCAACATGTGGTGGAGGGGTTCTGAAAACCATGGAAACGGTTGCCACTTCGCGAACGAAACCAGCGGGAGTCTCTGATTGATCAGTGTCAAGGGTTCTCTAAATAACGAATTAGCAATCAATAGCAATCTTACATACTCTGTGGTGTAAATCCCAGAAAAATATGGAGCTTTATAGCTGGGAAAATCATCTCTAAATAGATGGGGAGATTTTCATGGATTTTCCACGGCCACGTTTGATCCCCGAAGGGTATCCTCTGTGCGGCTGGTTTTGGAGGCTCGATTCTGTATAAAACCACTGACATGGAGTCATCCACGGTCTTTCTCCTTTAGCGCGTCATCTAGAAAGTGAAGAACTGAATTCTTCTCTACATAGACCTAGTTGGGCCGTTATGATCGAGGTCATGTGGACTTTGGGGTTGCTAACTCGTGAGGTTTGATCATTTAGTCAAAACATAATCTTTTGTCTATTCTGGGGAGAGTGTCAGAAAAAAATGGAACTCCGAAAAATCCATCCAAATCCCATTTTCTTTTCCCATCAACATATTATGAACATGTCCATTTTTTAATGTACCATCTAGTTATTTGACATAGCCATGGAAAATCCCTTATAAATGGAGGTTTGTAGCTGGGAAAATCATCTATAAATAGGCCATCTATACCATGGCTATGTTAGTCATAACCACAATATACCAGAAAAACCCGGTACCAAAGGCCGCACCTTCCCTCCATGGTTCCCTCCGCACGCCAGGGCACTCGCCACCGGAGTACATCTTGGTGAAATCAAAAGGTGTACCATCCTTCCACCTCGGCGGTGGAACTGGTTTAAAAAAGCTGTTTTTAAGCCATGGACCCATGGTTTAAAGGGTAGATTTTAAGGTAGAGATGTGCAGATTATAACATATATATATATTATAATTAATTATATATATATGTAAATATATACATATATATATATATATGTAAATATATACATATATATATGTAAATATATACATATATATATATATGTAAATATATATATATGTAAATATATATATATATATGTAAATATATATATATATATATATGTAAATATATATATATATCTAGTTTTCATGGGGGTCGGAAACCAATGCAGAATTAGGGGGCCACCACATGGTAGATAGCTACGGTAAGGTGGTTGATTAATTACGTTAAGTAGGTGTTATAATAGGTTACAATGGGTATATCACTTGGATGGAACCCGGAATCATGAACATACCCCAAGAGTGGTGATTTATGAACTTTTGAATTTGTATGCCACACTCTATGATTTGCTCGACACATATTTACAGACAACAGTTCCGTTTTGTGGTTGATCATTGGGCATGGTTTACTATTGTGGATCTCACATTGGCGGCAGTTTTTTGTGGCGGTCAAGCCGTGTGGGCCGTTTTTTCGGGTGAACTGTAGAAGAACGAGGGTTGAGTCACCCGGGGTTGCAGTAAGTCATCCTCCCGCATGTGTACGCTGCATTAGTGGTAAGTCACCCACCCGGCTTGTGAAAAGTCACCCGGAAAAAATGTAAACACCATGTGCCCGCTATGTTACAAGATCCTCGTGAAATAAGTTGAAATAAAGAATGTCTTGCGCACGCTGAGGGAAAATGTGATTCTTGTTTGATGTTCAGCATGCTTGAGTTGAGAATAACCTTGTGCATGTCCTTTTGATACGACTATTTTATGTGCGAGGGCCGCGCGACCCTGGGAATCAAATGGAATCAACTCTCATTGCCCGTGTTGTCAACCAAGTAAAGGCAGAAGAATCTGCAGATCATGAGTTTTGTGATCAAACATTCGTGAAGATCAAAACACCACCTGTACGCCAACAGAAACTAAGCTTCATAATCATTGGTTGATAATATTAACCATCATTAACCATTATTAACCACTATTAACCATTATTAACCATTATTAACCACTATTAACCATTATTTCCTATATGATTCTGTAGTCAACCATGCTTAAAGATCCACATCCACGCAGCTGCACGCCCACAGAAAAAAAAAAAACACGACTTTCTGCAAGTCAAGACGACATTTATGTACCTAGTACGGTGAATCAGAACTCATCGTCAAGAGAAGACATGTTCGATTACCCTCTGGTAATTTGTTTCGTTGCTATTGGAAATGGCCATAGAAATAGTTGATTTACCCAGCTATAAAATGGTGATGTTCCATAGTTTTTTGTTAGTTTACCAGAGGGTAGCGCAAATGACCAGGTTGATTTTTTCAGTTTTTCAGGTGACAAGACTGTGAAACTCTGTAGATTTCAGCTGCCTGCGGTGGAAAAAACATCTGCTCCTACCCGAGGAAAAGCTCTTGTGAATGGTTTTACGCTACATTATCCTGGGTCAAAGCATTTATTGAGGTGTCAGACTAGGCTAACTAGGCTTGATAGTTCTTGTAGATGTCTCGTTTGCCCGTTTGCCCAAATTTATAGCCTATGGGCTGCGAGGATCATCCTAGCCATTCCTAGCCGCCTCTATTTTTCCCAATTTTTGGTGTTCTGACTGTTTCATGGAGTGACATTGCTTTCTTCTGAACTGTTCGTGCACCAAGGTCTATCCAGAGAATCGCACCCTCCTCTTAACCCATACTTAATGGTCCCAGTCATACGTGATTTCATCCTACATCCACCATGGTGACTCCGGCCTTACCAAGCGACCATCCCTTGCTCTTCGCCACTTCGAAGAGATTGGGCGACAAGATAAAATTTGCCTTGTCGTTGGCATCCACCTCCCGGATGGTGTACATATTGGCCTCCGCTCCCCAGGTCCAAGGGTGTTCCAGGGTGCTGGTGGCGAGGTGTGGCATTTTTTTGAATGTCTATGTGGGTCGATGTAGGTTCCTGCAAACACTCTGCGGCCCAATTTTTGGCATGAAGAGATATTACAACTATACATATGTATCTACACATATGTATGTGTATGTGTGTGTGTATACATGTATTATATATATATAGAGAGAGAGACACATGATATTTGATGTCTGACATTAGATGTTACGTACAGTAAATGCAGATAAATATAGCGAAAACCCCCATGAATCTTCCATGAAATCCCCCATGGTTTCACGGAAAAACAAGACGATGTTCAATGCTTACCCGGCCTGGTAAACGTTTACCAAAAACTATGGAAAGATCCACCATTTTTTGATGCGTAAATCAACTATTTCGACTGGGCCATGGCTTCAAGTTCGCTTTTTGTAACCGTTTACCAGGCCGGGTAAATTCCAAGATCTTCCCAGGGTTTTGATCACCGACTCCAACGAGGTGCCACGACGGTCATGTGGTCGTCTGGCAATCGCTGCGCAGCCCAGATGGCGCTGGTACCAGTGGGATCCGACAGGATCTGGAAGGCCCAAGCCTGTCGTGAAGTCGAGGCCCAAGGGCCAAGTCAAGGGCTCGTTTTGAAAGGCCAAAAACGGGTACAGGATGGGGCCCCCGTTAGTTGTTGCGTTCAGTTGGTGTTTAGAAAAGTGGCTGAAAAAACTATGGTTTATGGTAGATATTACGAACTAGTTAATGGGGATTATAATGGTTTATAAACCAACTTATAACTGGGGGACCCCATCCTGTACCCTCAAGGACTCTTAATGATAGTTGTCTTTTTTGGAGATATGATAAAAATATGATTAAAATTGTGATTTTTTTTGTGAAGTCACTAAGAAACTATAAGTAACTACTGTAATTGATGCTGATTCGGAGCGATTGGATAGGATTATCACGGGATATTTCATGGTGATTTTTCAGAACCAATTTCAGAAGGCTAATTGCGATCTACCCTCTGGTAATTTGTTTCATAGCTATTGAAAATTGCCATAGAAATAGTTGATTTACCGAGCTATAAAATGGTGATGTTCCATAGTTTTTTGTTAGTTTACCAGAGGGTAAAATCAACCAGAAACAGGAACATCATGGGGATTCTCGTGGGATATTTTTTTGAGTGAGTTTTCAGCAGCAGTTTCATAGGATAATCTGGGATCTAAAATCAACCATAACTGGAATTTGATGGAGATATCATGGAAATAGATATGATATTGCCTATTGGTTGCTGGAAAATGACCTATAGGTTTAGTTCGTTGATTTTCCCAGCTTTTTGAACCTTCATGTCGTTCGGGGATTTTCAATTGTCACAGTTGGTTGCCGGAGTGTAACTCACAAAGATGCGGAAAACTCATGGAAGTCGAAGGAAAGTGATCTACAAGTAGTTGGTATTCCACATCAATGTTAGGTTACATGAGGGTACTGCAACCAGCAAAAATAACGATGATGGGGACGATTGGTTGATAAAGTTGATAAATGATGGTTGATGATGCTTAGCACCAAAAATTCAGGATCATCCGCTTGCAAATGGGACGCCCCACTGTTGTTTAGCATATATGTACTATTGATTTATATATATATACATATAACATTGGTATACCATCTATCATATCATATCATAGTAATACAAAAAAATGTACCGTATGTATACCATCATTTACCATCATATATTACCTTTAGCCTATAAACCAAACATGATAAGCCATGATAATCTTTTATGACTTATAAAAGTCCCATTAATCCCAACTACCATCCCACAAAAATCACCATAAATGACCTAATCTGATCATATTCCAAAATCGTTGGTGATATCTCCATTAAATGCCTATCAAATCCCGAACAAAATCCTCTAAAATCCCGATCGAAGCTATCAAATACCTATAAAATCCTATGAGAATCCCATTATTAACCATTCTTAAGCATGATGAACCATTATTGACCATTATAAACCATTATTAACCATTATAAACCATGATACATCCCATTAAATCCCATAAAAGTACCTGGAGTTGCCACGGGGGACCAGTTCTCTCCCGCCTCGTCTGGATCTGCCACCACCAAGGACTCCCCGCTGCCTTCGAAGGAGTCGACCGGACCATAGAAACCTGGGACGCTTTCGGGATGAATATGCTTAATATATATATATATAAACACTCACAACACAACATTTTCACAAGCGGTGCAGACCAATTTAGTCAAATTAAAGAGTTGAAAATGCAATGATATAGAGTTTCTGATTGTCAAAAGAAGGAACCCTCCCCTTCTTATGGGTCTCAAATGGACTATCTTCCGCCACACCGGAAAATAGTACATTTACCCGTGCCTTCCGTATCTCTCGCCACACCAGAGAAATAACGGACACTAGGCACAGACAATCATTTGAAAAAAGAAAAACAGGATATCTGGATCGTTCAGGCTTCCCCCTCCCTTCTAAACAAAAAATTTTTGCGCTTTGCGCTTGGGAGGGGGGGTGGGCCTTTAAGCCGAAGCTGCGTTGTGAAGTTATGTGTTTTCGTGTTTACCCCCGAAACGTAGATACAAACACTCACAACACAACATTTTCACAAGCGGTGCAGACCAATTTAGTCAAATTAAAGAGTTGAAAATGCAATGATATAGAGTTTCTGATTGTCAAAAGAAGGAACCCTCCCCTTCTTATGGGTCTCAAATGGACTATCTTCCGCCACACCGGAAAATAGTACATTTACCCGTGCCTTCCGTATCTCTCGCCACACCAGAGAAATAACGGACACTAGGCACAGACAATCATTTGAAAAAAGAAAAACAGGATATCTGGATCGTTCAGGCTTCCCCCTCCCTTCTAAACAAAAAATTTTTGCGCTTTGCGAGAGCTTCCACGTCCCCCTGTCCTTCTCTCTTTGAGAGATTGCTCAAGCGAGGGATTAAAAGTCCAAGTTGTATAAATACGGTGAAATGGTGAAAGTAGCGGTTTAGGAATTTGAATGTCGGAAAGCATCGCTAGGCCTGAGTTGATATAAATGCGGGCAGTTTTCACAGCTGTCCAACGGCCAGCTACTACCACTTTGTCAAGTGATCCACACTTCACAAACAAATGCGTTGCCCCCCCGCGACGCAGTGAGTAAGGTCTGAATTCCCATTGGTCCAGTTTCAACTTAGAAAGACAATCACTAAACAGATTGCGCCAGGCATGCGGCTTTAAAGTAAGGAACGTATGTGGTGGAACTTTGCTTTTCCAGGCCCATAAAGGAGCCAGGACTTTTTGTTCAGTGAGTGTAACACTCTCGGCCGCTCCTTGCCGCTTACCCGACTTTGTTAAACCTAGGTTGAGGACCGCGGGTTTAAATGGAGACTCCATGTGTATCTGCCATGCTTGAATGGTGAGCAGCTCTCCAGTTCGGAGGAGCCCATAAAACGCTACTAGCAGACTTAGACCAAAAGTGTAATGTTCATGGGTCACCGCCCATCCGACCATTGCTTTCAAAACTGCTTCAGTCATAGGGGGAGCTCTTGGGGGGATCTCATGAGTAGTCCATGTGCGCATCAGCCGCCACGACCCAGGTAAATGGTTCTTGAGTTTTGGCATATAGTCTTGTAATGCTGCCATGAAATTACTGGCTGTAGCACGGCCTTCTCCCTGGCTCCACAGGTACTCCAGATAGTCAGAAACAAGCGCGTCCATGTCATCCTTTTTTCGAGGTAGATCTAGCCCTTCATGTTTAAGGAAGTCAAAGAAGTTTTGCAAACCTTGCTTGTAACGAGCTTTTGTAGTTGCTTGCACTGTTAGACTTTTCAAGGTTCCTAACTTTTTGCGGATTTTACGTCTTTCTTCTTTGCTAGCGGTCCCTGATAATGCAGTTACTTTTTTACCCATCGCTTTTTGACCCTCCACCTAGAGGGTCGATCGGCAGGATTGTCTTTAGTATCCACATACGCCCATACGGGCTGGAGACCGCTAGCCAATAAGTAAGCACTAATCCGCATCATAGTTCTCCTCATCTTTCTAGACGAAGAACGACCCCTTGTCAAAGCGTGCAAAACCGCTAAGCTGTCCACCAAATGGATGCACCTTAAATTGACTTGCAACTTTTGAAAAACACGCCACTTGATAGTAGTGAGTACAGCTCGTGCTTCTAGAACGTTGATATGCTCCACATCCCCACCCCACTGCCAACCCGCAACGGTGGCCCATCTCCAAAGTTTCGCTGGAATTCCAGCACGCAACCTATGGTACTTCACCGGGATCTCTGTTGTGCTTTGAAGAAGCAAATCTTCTCCCTTTAGAGATACTAAACCTGACAGTTTAGCCACTAGGCGGGATGAGGAACACATAGTCTTGGTACCTTGTATGAGAGGAGGACGTAGTAGCAGGCTTTGTAGGTCAGCTTGGCGTCCAGGTGTGATGTTGGTAACTAACTGAGCTAGGGAAAATGGGGAAATAATGCCCAGAGGTTTCAGCAGTTGCCCCACCAACCATGCTACCACCCCCACTGACCAGCTATTGCCCAACAAGCTTAATCTACAATCATTGTGGTGGACCGTGCCGTGCTCGCTTTTCTTCATACATTGTCTTGTGTAGTTGGGAGGAAATCCCAAGATCACCTCCCTTTCTCTGACACTAGGAGTCCGAAGACTCCCTTGGTTGTCGATCAAGCAGTGACAGGTCTTGTATTGGTATGGCGGGAATCGATGAGAATCTTCCCTCCATCGAGCTAGTTCCTCCTCATCACAATCTTTGAGCCCTGCAGGTCTTCTCAGAGGCTTCGAACTCGGCCGTGATGTAGTGAAGGTTGGGAGAGCCTTCTCTCCCGTACGTCTCCAACCTGGTTCCAAGAAGGCTTTTTCTTCTACAGGAGCTTTAAGGACGACCTCTCCTAGTAAGGGTAGTTGTCCATTGGTGCCCAGGTAGATCTCCACACCTTCCTCCTCCATGAGTTCCCAGGTTATCCAGTATAGACGAGGTCGGTGTGCAAGGCTGATCCCGTCAGCGTCAATGAACCATGGCTGGGAGTCATATTCAGCGTTCATCGCCGCACAGTCTCCCTTATCCATTGAGGCCACGTTTTCAGTCAAACTGTGAACCTGAGCCCACGGAAACCACCTTTTGCATATTGAGACGATCCGAGGTACATGTGTGAATAGCTTGCTACGATGGTCTCGTAGCGCTCCTTTCCGATCGGAGTTCAAGCCTGAGACGCCCTGGCATGGAGGCCCTGAGCCCACTAACACCAAGCCCACTGTGGCATACTTCAAAGACCAGTTTCTGACCACCTCTTCTGTGATGAGCTCGACGTTGTCATAGGATTCACTTTCTGGAAAGTGGGCTTCAACCACCCTTCTTGCTTCCGGGGATCGCTCCACTGAAATGTGCCCTGCCATAGGTGCCTTGACCAAATCCAGCGCCACCCTCAGCGCGCTGATGCCGTCAAAAAGCCCCACGCTGAGCACCTGTGTCAGCTCATGTTCCTCGGGGATATCGCCTCTGACCTGACTGAGGCTAGCTGAATGACCATATGGGGTCAGGCCTTTACTTCTGCAAATTCCCCCACCTGTGGTGGAAGCATCACTTGCAGTGACTACCTCATCAAATTCGCCCCTCAAATTGATGAAACTCAAGGGGCATAACCCAATAAACCGGATCAGTTCAATCATAACTTCTCGCTTCAAAGGCAGCCTTGAATGGGGTAACCTGGGGGCCTCTTCCACAATGGTTCTCCAAATCTGATTCAAAGAAGATAGCAAAGGCCGCCTAAACATTGCAATGTAGACGAAACCTCCACCAACTACCTGAAGTTCTCGTTGAGAGGCCTTACCACGACCCACGATCTCAAGAGCCAACCTGATATACTTAGCCACCTTACTAGGCTTTGCCGTGATCGTACCCAAGTCTCCATCCACCCAAGCTCCCTGGACTTCTGCTTGAAGAGCTTGCTCCACCGATTTTTTGGGGTGCCTTGGGAGTTGGCTCTTGCCATAAAACTCCCTTATCTGTTCCACCAAATCTGAAGTAGACCCTGACACCAAGAGCGCCGTGGCTCGGTCCAGCTTCTGCAGCTGGTCGAAATTGTCAAGGTAAACTCTAAAAAGGTTTGAACAGGCGCTAAAAATGCGATCCCTTCTAATCTCCTGGACCGTCTTCCCCAGCCCAGCCAAAGATCCCAAAGCGCGGGTGATCACCCCTCTATGGATGTGTTGGGCTATCCCAACGCTGTTGAGGTACCCCATTGGCAATACAGTGCCAGCAAGGTACCACTTCTTGTTCTTTCCGTCCAATGGCACCATAGTTGGGGGGATTTCCCTTCCAAACCCCATGAAGCGGCACCACGCCTGCGGCACCTTGAACAGGTAGAAAAAGCATCTGAGGTCCTCGGACGATGTGACCATTACTTCACTATCATGGATGTAGAGGGCGCCCATTTGAGTAATGGATGGAAGTGTTCCTACCTCAGCTGCTAAACTCCTACTGATGGAATTCCAAGGCTTCAAGTTCATGATCAATCTGCTCACTGGGATCGAGTTCTTAATCTCATCTTTGCCGACTGAGAAAAGACCGTTGAGTAAAGGTTGGGATCCGATATGATGAAGTTCTTCTTGACAAACAATCTTGCAAAGACCTCGATCAACAAGTCCTCTTGCTAGAGGCTCCCAATCACCCTCGCAAACCATAACAGAAGGACACTTCATAGGAGTCTGCAGGTCAACTGAAACAATGGTTTCCTCGATGTTGTTGATGAAATGTAGAACACCCCCCGTGCAGAAATCCCTAATATCCAAAGACCCTGCTTCGGGAGGCAATGAGGCCTCCACACTACGCCAACTAATAGGTTGTGCCAGTTTGACTTCTTCCCCTGCATAGTCCAAACCCTTCAGAGTAAAAAACTTTGCAAAATCCATTTCTGGGAGAACTTCATCCAGGATGTGTGACCCCTCCACCACGCTCTCTAACCTTTTGAGCACCACTCGGGCGGGTTGTGACAGTGCGCCACCAGTGCCTACCTCGCCACAGCCGTGTAGGCTATTTAGGCACATTACAAGTGCCTGGAGAAAAGGATGCCTTCCGGAAACCGGTAACCCCTGCCTTGGGACTGGAAGTGGAAAAAGATCAAACTTCCTAGTCGTGGACCCTG